GACGCTTAAAGATCTTTTAGTTCTAATTTCGTGAATCATGACGTTAAACAACTTATTGCATATCTATTCCTCAGTGAGCTGCTCCTGAAAACGCCTTAGATAACAGTAAAGTCCTTAGTACATTCATTTAAACGTTACCGTTTCTTCCTTATACTGTAATCTGGTCAACCCCTGGTAACTCTGGAGTGAGTTGCTGTGTAAGAGAACAGAAGCTTTGGGTGCTTTTAGTGTCCCTGCTTCAGGTGTCCAGCCCAGGGAGTTCTCAGAGCTGCCTTTCCGTGGCAACTGGCTATTCCCCGGGAGAGGGGCTGGTGGGCGCTTACAGGAGACACATCAATTAAACCCAAACTTTGCAGGACCCAAGGGCGTGGCACTTCCGGCAGTGCATTTCAGGGAACCAGAAAACTAAATGTAGAATTATCACGAAATCAGAAGTTTGGCCCTTGAATAGAGCATTTCCCTTCTATGCGTCCTACTTTTCAACTCACTCCTGCAATGCAAGTGTCATTGGGATGAGTTTGTGTTTAAAGTGGTGTCAGCCAAGTTCTCCAGGTCTGTCAGCGGTTGTAAAGATGTGAACATCCCTGCGTGGGTTTATGTGTGTGCTTGTGTGGAGTCTGTGGGGCGGGGCGGGGGGGGGTTCCATCCTTTCCTCTCATCTCTTCCTCTCTGTCTTCCCTGAAGCTTGGGTCAGGTCCTGAGCTTGAACCGGAAGTGTCCAGCGGGGCGGGGCTGAGGAGTGTCCCCTGACGAGTGAAGCCAATGAAAGCTGCAATTTCTATCCTTCCTGGGGCATCCTGACTTAACCTGGGTGCTGGGAGGGAAACACTGAACAGTAATTGGAGATATTAACTGCAAATCCTCCTGGGATGAAATGCCCACTTCTACATACAATCCCTCACCAACACATCTACAGTAGTTTAGTAGTTTATACCTTTCCTGTTTTTGTTCATGTTGGGTTGTGGAATGCTCAGGCTGTTAGTTGCACCCTATGCGTTGGAGAAAGAAGGGGACTAAGGGTCTGGGGGCAAGGCTGAAGGGAAAGTCAGCGGAAAGGGAGCAGGAGAGAGGTATAGAGAGGTGGGGACCAGAAAGGGAACTGGAAATAGTGGAAGGAGACAATGAGACAAAAATCTGATAGATGGAAGAAATTGTGCTGTAGTGTTTATTTACTAATTTGAGCCACGTCCTTACTACGATTATGTTGTGCATTTCTCTGATTGGCGGGAACCTTGATAGTAGGAACTTTGGGAATAGTGTGATGGTTTTATGCTCTACCACAGGGGCTGTTAGTGCATTGGGCACTGGTGGATTCTTAGTGCCTAGCACAAGGTCAGCTTGTCCAAGTGTGTCTACATTTAGTGAACAGAGATGCATGGAACCCCAGGAGCATGGTGGAGAATTTCAGATGCATCCCAGAGAGTCTCAGATGCATGGTGAAAAATGTTCTTTTGCTCTTTACGTTGACATACATTGGTATTTTCTTTTCCTAGTTCCTCACATTTATTTAAATGTTAATGACAGGCTTTCAAATTGGTTCAAAAAAAGTCAAGCAATGAGAATAGTTAATGAGTTATGTGTTTTAGAAATTCAGATTATACCATAGCATCTGATGTCATGGTAATGATCAAACATTAAGATTAATTAATATATGGTGGAAAGTGGGAACTGGTGGAGGGATGGGTATTTGATCATTGTATAACTGAAACCCAAGCACAAAAATTTTTAAGTCTACAACTGTACCTCACGGTGTTTCAAATTTTAAAAAAAGAAAAAATATTAATATAGCCATTATAATGATATACACTTGGATAAAATGACAAAAATAATAAAAGTATAAATTTTCTGGTTTATTCTAGGAGAAAGTTTATATGTGTTTTTCAATTAATAATTGGCTAGAAAGTATCTATTTGTTCTACTGAAGGAGAAAAGTATTCCTAAAATTACATTACTAGCTTTTTCCCTTTCCTTTCTGGTTTATTTTCCATCTTTCCAGAAACACATTAGCATACAATTATGAACTCATGGCTTCCATTTACTCTTAAAAGATCTCAAGTTCTTTTCAACTCAAGTCCAGCTTAGAATCTTAATAGTTTAAAACACCTCGATGCTGGTCCTGGAGGTTGTGTTAATTAAATTACATCCAAATGTGAGCCACTGGGGGTATTGACATGATAGGGAATTCTGGATGAAACTTAGATTTACCAAGTATATAACCTCATTTTGATTTTTTTCTTTTTTGTTTTTTGGGCCACACCTGGTGATGCTCACAGGTTATTCCTGGTTCTGCACTGAGGAATTCCTCTGTCCCTCTTGGAGAGCCGGGCAAGCTTCCGAGAGTATCCCACCCACACGGCAGAGCCTGGCCAGCTCCCCGTGCCATATTCAATATACCAAAAACAGTAACAAGTCTCACAATAGAGATGTTACTGGCGCCGACTCCAGCAAATCGATGAACAGTGGGAGGACAGTGCCACAGTGCATTGAGGAATTACTGCTGGCAGTGCTCAAGGGACCATAATGGGGCAGGATCAAATCTGGGTCGGCAACATGCAAGGATATGCCATACCCATTGTACTATCTCTCTGGATCTAGATCTTGCTTTATTTATTTATTCATTCATTTAAGGTTTTGGTCCCACATACGACATTGCTCAGGGATTTCTCCTGGCTATGCTCTCAGGAATCACTCCTGGTTGGCTTGAGGTACCAAATGGGGTGCTGAAGAACCAACCCAGGTTGGCTACATGCTAGGCAGGTGCCTAGTCTGCCATACTATCTTTTCGGCTTCTCATCTTGACTTTTAAAAATATCTACATTTTTTTGTGAAAATAAAAAAGAAGTCTTAAACGAGAACATCAATGATTTATCCCTCAAAGAGTTTACTAGAAGCAATCTGTGAGGGGAATTCCATACAGACTGCCAATACACACAACACCACAATTAGACTTCCTAACTAATTCTTTGACTAACATAGTGCTTTCTAAAACTTTTGCTTAATGTTTGATTATTTTCCCCACAATTTGCCTACAGTTTCCAAACTTTGTGTAATGCTCCTTTCTCATTCTTGAGGAGAAAAAAAATTATTTGTAGCCATTTCTCATTCAATGACTAATAAAAGGACTAGCCCAAAGGTACTGTTTGACTTATGTAAGCCTCCGCCAACCTTTATGAATCGAATTCAGATGCCAGTGTGATGTGGCTATGGAAGAGAAACAGACTAGTGAGTGTGCAAGCAGTCCATTGAGACAGCTATCTTCAACTCCTACTTATTTTAATGGGACTAGATAAGATATTAGCTTTAAAAATAGTAGACTGAAGACTGCATGGTACAGTGAGAGGAACATGGACATGCAAAGTCTATAGCTTGGCATGTTGCTGACCCTAGTTACACTTCTTCTCTGTAAGTTAAAAGAGAATAGCTCCAACGAATGTTGAAGGCTGTTTTGAAGATAGTATAGTATCTTAGATAGCATATGAAAAGTCCCAAGAGTGTAGGAGCCACTAAAGAAATAAATAGTAGGCTTTCTAAGAGTTTCAGAGTGCTACAGCTCTTGCTGAAATTTCGCTGGAGATTTTTTTTTGTTAGATAAATTTTATTTATTTTTTTTCCGTTTTTTTTTTTATTAGTGAAACACCATGAGGTACAGTTATAGGCTTACAAATTTTGTGCTTGGGTTTCAGTTCTACAATGATCAAGTGCCCATCCCTCCACCAGTGCCCGTCATCCATCACCACGGGTCCCAGCATCCCCCCCCCACCCCCCCACCCCCCGTCCCATCCTGCCTCTGTGGCAGGGTATTCCCCCTTGTTCTCTCTCTCTTCTTTTGGGTACTGTGTTTTGCAATTCGCTGGAGATTTTTGATGGAGTTATCCCCTGCTCTGATACCATCTGTTCCTGCCCAGCATTGAGAAGAATTCACTGAAAAGGCAATTAAGAGTGTGTTACTCTCTCCACTCTCACCCACATCCCTCACGAGACCCCGTTAACTCAGAAGAGAAGCTCCAAGCCTAGGAAGGACCAGCCAAGCCCTGTTCATTTTGCCTCCCGTTGCCCCTGGAAGCTTTTCCAGAGGGACTCTAATGGGATACAGATTTAGGGAGAAAAGACACTTTTGGTCTCCAACCTCTTGTCGGATGCACTTCCTGTGAGAATGACTCTGACTTTGGGGCTCTGGCTTTTGGATGATCCTTTCACTTGTTTTGTATTGAATCAGCCGGAAACACTCAGTTTTAATATTCTTCCGAGACAGGCTGATGACTGCAGGCATGCTGGTCTCTCTGTATTACTGTTTACTTCCCTGAGTGAAATGTTGCAGTCAGTTGTGCCCAACGGGAGCTGTCTGTCGAGGCATTTTCAATGAACATGGAAAAGATTTTGCTTGATATCGGTTTCATTTTTCATTTTCACCGTTTCATTTTTCTTCCCTTTTTCTTGAACCTTATTTAGTTTGTTGAAATCACTTTAGGCAAACATTTCTTTGACGTACCACTGTTGGTGAATATTATTATGTACTCTCCAAATTAAAATGTTTTTCTCAAAAATTAAACTATTGAGTGACTATTGAGACATCAATTAAAATGTATAAATGTACCTGTAGGATGTACAAAATCATGCGACTGGAGCAATCAGTAGTACAGCTGGTTGGGTACTTGTCTTGCACGGAGCTGACCCAGGTTCAATTCTTGGCCTCCCAAATGGTCTTCCAAGCACTGCCAGGAGTAACTCCTAGTGCAGTCAAAATAACCCCTAGCACTGTCAAGTGTTGCCCCAAACAAAACCAAAACAAATAAGCAAACAAACAAACAAAAAGAACGTAGAAAATCTTCAGTAGAAACTCAAATAACTTTGGCATGGAGTTTCCTATATTCTCAATGGCAAAATTAGAAGGTTTCTTTTCTGATATTATATGCCTTTCTGACTATAAGTTTACAGAAGGTAATTTACTAACGAGATGTCTTCTCTTTCCTTTTTTAAAGTCTGTATGCAAAGAAAGAAGAATGAGTCTTTCATTCTGTGGCAGTGAAGCTTCCTCCTACAACATCTCCCAGGGCGTGTTGCAAAACCCTTGCTTCGTGGATGCCCTCAACCTGGTCCCCCATGTCTTCCTGCTGTTTATCACGTTTCCAATATTGTTTATTGGTAAGTAATTCTGTTGTCCTGCCCCCCTCCACTGAAAGTTTATTTAAAAAATGATGAACAATTGAGACTTGGTATAATGTGACTTAATTTCTCCAACATGAGGACTGATCTATACATGTCAGAAAAGAACCATTATCTGTGGTTTACAATTATTAACAATCTTTTTTTTCTTTTTTTGCTTTTTGGATCACACCTGGCGATGCTCAGGGGTTACTCCTAGCTCTGCATTCAGGAATGACTCCTGGCGGTGCTCTGGGAATCCTATGGGATGCTGGGGATTGAACCCGGTTTGGCTGTGTGCAAGGCAAATGTACCTGCTGTACTCTCACTCCGGTCCTTATTATTTATATTCTTGGTACATGTTTTTCTATGAGCAGAAATAGAACAATTTGCCTTCACGTGGAGTGGGATTCATGTAGGAGTAGCTATTTTCAAGAAAGAGGGGAATACTTGTTCTGTGAGAGAGATTGGAAGGATTTGCTGACCATTTGCTTGGTCCTACTTGGTTAAGAGAATGGAAAAGTGGGTAAAACACTGACTGGGCTAGAAGCCACTGGCATTGACATTTAAATGGATGTGTCAAAGTCTAGAGAAATGACAGGCAAAGATCAAGGGATACTGAGTATGTAACTTAAATATGGTGATGGGGATATTTCAGGGATAAAGTGTACATGTGCAAAGAAAAGGAATGAATGATAGAGCTTTCCTATTATTTTGCAGCTTATATATGTAAAAAATTCAGTTATTCAGACCATGCGAACATGATTTTCCCAGAGTTAAAACCAAGATTTTAACTTTTTAAAATTATAAGATATTGCCATATATACAAGTGGTTAAGGATTAAACTTGTCATCACTCATCTTAAGAAATCTAATGGGGCCAGAACAGGTTGGGTACTTGCCTTGCATATGGCTAACCTGAGTCCAATACCAGGACCCCATTTGATCTCCAGAGCACCAGCAGGAGTAATTCCAGAGTGCAGAGCCAGGAGTAAGTCCTGTGTACCACTGGGAGTGGCCAAAAAACAAACCCAAACAAAACAAAGCAACCCACCCAAAAGAAACAACCCACCAAAAAGAAGCAATAATACAACTGAATCTTCTGTGTATTACTACCTAATCTGAAACTCTTTCTGCATTCTATGTTCTTAATGCTTCACAAGAGGAAATCACAATTAAAATTTGGTGTTTAATATCATTAATTTGCTTATAAAACTAAATGAAAAGCCAGACTGATGTTCTTAAGAAAGCTAGGATACTCCAGTGGGAATTGTGGTGTTGGAAGAGGTATGCGTGAAACCCTGTCATTAATGCCATTAATATTATTGTGAATCACAGTGCCTGGTGGGGGAAGGGAGAGAGAGACAGAGAGAGAGACAGAGAGACAGAGACAGAGATGGAGACTGACAGACAGACAGAGACAGAGAGAAAGACAGAGAAAGTGAAAGAGAGAGAAGAAAAATGCCTTCTATAGAGGTAGGCTGGGCAGGGGGCGGTGTGGGCAGAGGTAATGGAAGGGAAACTGGGAACACTGGTGCTGGGAAATGTACATTGGTGGAGAGATGGATGTTGGAACACTGTATGACTGAATGCTAATTATGAACAGCTTTGTAAAACTCTATCTCACAGTGATTCAATAATGAAATCTGAAAAAAAATGCAACATAAAAAAGTTTAAATAAAAAAGAAAAATGATTAATATTAAATGTTCAACCGTAAAGATAAAATAAAGAGAAAGCATAATTTAGACAGAATCATTTGCCTTCATTTAAGTTTTAAAAATAACATATGCCATCATTTATTTATTTATTTAGCAATGATGGGATACGCAGATTGTATAAGAGTCAAGGTGATTACCTTGCTTACAGCCAAATCTGGTTCGAGCCTGAGCATCACATAATTTGCAAACACCACAAGTACTCCCCTCCCACAGCACAGAGCTGGGAATAGCCCCCAACACTGCTGGGCTGGAGTGATAGCACAGCGGTAGGGCGTTTGCCTTGCACGCAGCCAACATGGCCAACCCGAGTTCGATTCCTTCACCCCTCTCGGAGAGCCAGGCAAGCTTCCGAGAGTATCTCGCCCGCACGGCAGAGCCTGGCAAGCCACCCGTGATGTATTCGATATGCCAAACACAGTAACAACAAAATGTCCAATGGAGATGTTACTGGGCCCGCTCGAGCAAATCAATGAATAACGGGAGGGCCTTTACTTTACTTTACTTTACTGCTGGGTGTGTCCTGAGCCCCTCATACTCCTTCCACATACTGAGAGGCTACTTCTAAAATTGATAAAAAATAAGTTATGTATCAAGCAGAAGCCTACATCATACTTGGCATATAGCTATCTATTTTAAACATGTACTGATTTTAAGGGCTGGAGTGATAGTACAGCAGGTAGGGGTGTTTGCCTTGCATGCGGCCGACCCAGGTTCGATTCCTCCATGCGTCTCAGAGAGCCCGGCAAGCTACCGAGAGTACCCTGCCTGCACAGCAGAGCATGGCAAGCTCTTCGTGGTGTATTCGATATGCCAAACACAGTAACAACCAGTCTCACAATGGAGACGTTACTGCGCCCACTCTAGCAAATTGATGAACAATGGGAGGACAGTGCTACAGTACAGTGCTACTGGTTTTAAATTTATACAATGACCACTTATGGAAACACTAGCATTTGTGCGATCATAATTCTACGATTGATAATTCATATTTTGACACCCTGTTAACTTCTTGAGAATAATTACTATCAGAGTCCTATTTGCGTCCCTAGCATTGAGCAGGGACTGACAAAGGATGGAGGCTTTCCCCACTATCCCAAAGTAGAGGGTTCCAGTGAAACATTTCCTAAGTCAAATGGTATAAAGTGAATATTTTTTTTGGCATTCCCAGATTCCCCAAATAACTCACCAATTCATACCAAATCACTCATGAATCCTAGAATCACATTGACAAGGAATAAAAGCAGGAGTGATAAATGCATCTGTGTACCAAGCCAGTTCTGGGAAGGGGCTGTCAGGGTCACCAAGCTCCTTGGGAGCGTCTGTCTCTTAAACAGTTGCTGCTATTTTTGCTTTTTGTTGTAAACTTGGAAGTTCATTTTGGATTTCTTTTGTAAACTAATGTAGATCTTTCATAGTTAGTGGCAGTGCAACTCAAACTTTCAGTGTAACTCCAACTTTCAAAAATCAGAGGGTGCTGGTATATGAATGAGTGACACTGGCTTGAAAATGGTATTTTTTAAAAAATAGTAATGGCTCCTGAGTTTTTGAGAGATCATAAATAAACTTCAAAGAAGTATTGGATATGAGAGAAATTATAATGTGACAAAAAAGAGATCTCAAGTCTGACTGCAGGAATTTTAATCATAAGTTCTAAACGTGTGAGCACTAACTCATAAATCAATATTTTTTTGCAAAAGTTATTTTCTGCAACATTTCAAGCACAAAGTCTTTCTTCTTCACAGTAAAGGAAAAAAATAAGGAAAATTAGGTGACGAGAGGAAACAAAAACTTGGAATCCTTCCCTAGCATACTATATGAATTGACATTATTCTACAGATAGTTTTGGGGAGAAATCGTTTAACTTTTACCAGGATATATTTCTAAAATTGTCATAGATGTAAGCAAATGAGAACCTGCATTGTTTCAGAGTTTTCTGAGAAGCTCATAAATCAGCAAAATTAGTTTTATTTGTGAAAATATCACTATTTCTGTTGAATAGTGCCAGTGTAGTCATAGATAATCATTTTTCTCGCATGATATGACTATATTTAAGAGTTAACTCCACTAAGGAATTCTATGTTACATCACGAGGTACAGATTTTTGCCTTAGTCTTATCCTTAGGTTATATTTTGAAAATTTCTAGTCATTCAATTTTTATATTTATTTTTGGACTATATCCAGCTGTGTTCAGGGATTAATCCTGGCTCTGTGCTCAGGAATCACTCCTGGAAGCCCCTCGGGGATCCATATGCCCTGCTAGGAATCAAGCCTGCATTGGCTGCGTGTAAATCAAACATTTTGTCTGCTGTAATATCATTTCTGCCATGGCATCCAATAATTTAAAAAGAATCATTGATCAAGATTCTGTGGTTGATAGTAATTTTAGTAGTGGATTCTCACACACATAATTCCAACACCACACCCATCACCAGTGTACCCACCTTCTTTTTCCAAGGACCCCAGCACCTCTTCCTTTGTACCCCCCAACTCAGTTGTGTAGATACATTCTTTATGGATGTATCCATGTTCATTGACACACTTAGTACAATAGTCAAGATGTGGAAACAACTTATATACCTATCTATAGATGATCAAGAAGTCATAGTGTACATATGTGCAATGGAATACTACACAGCTCTAAAAAAGAATAAAATCATGCAATTTTCAGTAACATGGATGGAACTAAAGGATACCGTGCTGCGTGAAGTAAGGCAGAAGAAGGAAAGGGATAGATACAGAGAAATCTCTCTCATAAGCGGTACTTAAAGATACACACTAAGGTAGCAACGAACAGCCAAAGTTAACATAATGGGAGAACTTATCCACATACCCAGTAATTTTAAATTAAGATCAGTTTTTTAAAAACAAGTTAGAGATCTATCATTAGGAGTTCTGATTTGTGTGAAATTGCTGTATTGTCCTCAGAGTTGTTTTTTTTGGGGGGGGGGAACAATGTTATAATTATTAATGTGTTAACCTACACCATTGTGTAAAAATTTATTGAATAAAAAACTGGTCTTTATTGTTGTGAGGCTAATCCTGGCAGTTCTGGAGATCACCTGGTCTGAGTGTATGCTGTGTGTGTGTGTGTGTGTGAGAGAGAGAGAGAGAGAGAGAGAGAGAGAGAGAGAGAGAGAGAGAGAGAGAAATGAGTGTGTATGTGAGTGTGTGTGAGTATGTGTATGTGAGTGTGTGTGTGTGTGTGTGTGTGTGTGTGTGTGTGTGTGTAATCTGGTGGCAGGGTCTCTCACGTGCACAGCAAAGGTTTCTCTATTTGAGTCACATCTCTGACTCTGAAATTGTTCAAATTTAATGAACGATGAGCATAGACAAAGATTTCCACAGCTCTTCTAGAAAGCACTAATATCATAAGAGCAACCTCCTCTCCCCTAAGCATATCACAGGTAAAGGTAAAGGTAAAGGCCCTCCCGTTGATCGTCAGTTTGCTCGAGTGGGCCCAGTAATGTCTCCACTGGAGACTTTGTTGTTACTGTGTTTGGCATATCGAATACTCTCGGTAGCTTGCCGGGCTCTCCGAGAGGGGCGGAGGAATCGAACTCGGGTCAGTCATGTTGGCCACTTGTAAGGCGAACGCCCTACCGCTGTGCTATCGCTCCAGCTCCGCGGCAGCACATATACTAAAAAAGCATATCACAATGTAAAATAATTTTTGCATTACCCTTGATCTCTTTTCTCTTTTTTAGGATGGGGAAGTCAAAGCTCAAAAGTCCAAATTCATCATAACACATGGCTCCATTTTCCTGGACATAACCTGAGATGGATCCTTACTTTTGCTCTTCTGTTCGTGCATGTGTGTGAGATAGCAGAAGGAATTGTCTCAGATTCGTAAGTGACCTGGTCTAGTTGATATGTTTGCATATCAGTGGGTACATTTCTATGGGTAGTAGCCAGGAGCTTACAAAATAGGACTTAACTTTTTGGTCATCCCCTATCAGGAATCCTTGCTCTCACCTATTTTATTATGATCATGTTTTTATGTTTGTAGTTTTGGGATATGCCCCAATTTCCCTGACAACAAAAGTTTAGATCTCTGAGATTTTCTATTTCTTTCCTCCCTCATCTGTGCATCCCTTGAGAAATTTTCTCATTTTCAGCACACCATTGTTTATTTACCTTATCTTGCAAAATTGGTGTACATATTGAAGCAGGGTTGACTGGACTGACATTCTACTCTAATAGCTACATACTTTAGAGAAATGTACAGCCAGTTCTTGTGTATTTTTATTTTGTGAATAAGCAAAGATAAGTAGGCGCTGAAGAAGCTTAAGAACCAGTAATAATTGAGCCACAAATGGAAATAAATGCAAAATTATTTTTAAAAATGATTGATCAAGGGCTGGGGAGATAGTACAGCCTATGGTAGAGTGTCTGCCTTGCTCATGGCTAGCCCATGTTCTATCCCTGGCATTCCATGTGGTTCCCCGAGCACCACCAGGAGTAAGCCCTGAGCACAGCCAAGAGCGGCCTCAAAACAAAGCAAAAGAAATGATCATAAAACCTCTATTTTTGAAAGAATTTTGTCCCTTTTATAAAAGAAGTTCGTACTATAAGTTAATACTATCACTGTCACTGTCACTGTCCTCCCATTGTTCATTGATTTGCTCGAGTGGGCACCAGTAATGTCTCTACTGTGAGACTTGGTTGTTACTGTTTTTGGCATATCGACTATGTCACGGGGAGCTTGCCAGGCTTTGCCATGTGGGTGTAATACTCTTGGTAGCTTGCAGGGCTCTCCTAGAGGGGCAGAGGAATCAAACTAGGGTTGGCCTGGGTTGGCTGTGTGCAAGCAAATACCCTATCGCTGTGCTATTGCTCCAGCCCAAGTAACGAATTCTATTTGTAAACTTGAACATTAGTGTGTGGGGGGGGAGGGAGGAATGATATTTTTTATCATGTAGTAACAAAAGAAACTCAATAGTTTGGTTATGAGACTATGATAACTAGTATAGCTTTCACTGAAGAGTAGACACGAAAAGATCCTCACAGTTTTTACGAAGAAAGCTCCAAACTAATTTTCCTCTTATCTACTAAGAACCTCCCTGACATCTGTTTATGTTTTTCTGCTGCAATTAAAAAGAAATGAAACTTCTATGCTTTTGTCCTGGGCCAACTATTTTGTAATATTTTATAACAGTGCGCTGCATTTCTGTGCACGTCTTAGTTTTTGATAAAAATAAAAATCAGACTGAGATATGCCATGCCTCCAAGCCTCGAGAAGATTTAATGTCTAAAACCTCTTAGTGTGTATTTGCACCAGATTATTGCAACGAAATCCATCTGAGCCTTCATTTTCTTTATTCCTCCAATACATGGGCTAACCCGACATGTTTCTATGTTTATGCCAAAGAGTGCGTCACATCAGCCCACTAGTTCCTAAAAACTGGATCTCAGGCTGGCACAGATGAACCCGTTTCAGCCACATGACTGATGTGTATATTCAGTTGAATTTAGAACAGTTTGAATAGTGATGCGGAATATGTTCATAGCAGACTTATCTCATGATTGCCCGGATGTTGGTACAGGGGTTGGGGTTTGGGTTTGGTTGGAAATATCCAAAATATGGTGGTGGGGAGGTGTCATGGTGGTGGGATTGGTGTTTGAGTATTAAATATAATGAAATATTGTGAACTACTTAAAAAAATTTAAAAAATAAGGGAACTTAAAAAAAGGAGAGAGGCTCAAACAGTTTAAAGAAAAAATTAAACAACCCAATTTGGGGTGCAGGAAATTCCAAATTGGGAAGGAGCTTCATAGCTACTTTAGCCTCTATGCTAGATTAGGCAAATTTCCACAACAATCTTTAATGAATCTAGTAACCTTTAGGTTTCACAATTTTTAAACGTCATTGTTTCTTTATGAGGACTCCAGTTTCATAAGCTATTTGTATGCTTTCTTCTATTAATGTCTGCATTTATGTCAGTTTAATTCTTAGATTTAGTTAAAAAAAAAACCTGAAACTCCAGTGGGGAAGGAAGAGGTGCAATCTTGACTACAGTACATTATTAACAAATGGAAGTTTTGATGACCTGTTTTTAAAATCCAATCATTTCAACTTAGATAACATCATTTGATATCAGGGTGCCACGCTCCTACTTTTGAAAATAAATGGGTACAATTTGATTTTTAAAAAAAAGAGGAAGCAGCAGGAATCCTAAGGCAAAGCAGAAATACCCACTTGGTCTTATCCCCGCTGGTGTTTAGCTAAAGGCTTCTTCTTCCTCCTTCCCCCCTTGAGTCTTTTCTGCAAACAGCTTCACTGGGAATCCTGATCCACAGAGGATGCCTGCAATTCTCAGCACTGACAGGGGGTGCAGGACCCTCAATTTCACTATCAGCTCCTGGCCGAGGGGCCATCTGTCTTTAATTTCTACATGGAAGCATTCTTCTGAGCCCTCCTTCCACTTTTCACCATGCAGGCAGGCTCTGAGCAGTGACAGGCATCTCACAGTCCAGCTACCAACTGGAGACAGACACGTTCTTTCTTCTGACTTGGTCATTGGGTTCCCTTTGTCAACCATTCCTTTTCAGAACTGAATTTCCTCTGTGTCAATCTTCTTCCCAGGCTTGAACTGCTCTCTTCTGTTTATAGCTTGCACTTGATGTAGTTAAGCATTGAGAACATTGAGAACAATGAAAAGGTTTTCTCTGAGGGCTTTGTGTTCCATAAATCAAGTCTGATCCTGTTTCTTTTACCCTGACTCTGTTCACTGACCACAGAATAGAGCTTTATCTTCATGTGACCATAGTGTACTGCTTGCAATGCGCTACCTGGCCCCCCTGGGTATGCAGTTCCTTCAAATCTCCCTTTAGAAGTCAGACTTACACACCAGCCACATCCCGGGTTAAAGTTTTCCATGCACAATTGCTGTGCCCTGGGGACTCCAGGCTTCATTCCCACAGACATCATGCCACCTTGCATCCCAGAGTCCAAGACAGTGTCTGAACCCTTCAAACACACATGATGTCTGAATGAATGAGAACAGGAAATGCCCGAAGACCAGAGTTTTCACTGACTGGGTGGCTTGTCCTGGCTGTGGCTGTTGACTTCGCAGCACTGACTTACCTTTGTTGTGAGGATGGGATCATTCCACATGGCCTGGCAGGCGGGAGTCCACGGCACAGAGTGGACCCCACCATGATGACCCCAAGCTCTCCTTTGGGTGCTCCCTGATTTTCCGTCCTCTCCCCAGGCGCCTGGAGTCCAGACACCTGCACCTCTTCATGCCGGCCGTGATGGGCTTTGTGGCAACCACCACGTCCATCGTGTATTACCATAACATCGAGACGTCCAACTTCCCGAAATTGCTCTTAGGTGAGTTTGACCCCGTGTCTCCACCCCGCTGCCTGCTGGCTCCCGTGTTCTGGGGGAACAGGCTGGGAATTGAATGGACTTCAGCTGCACTTATCTGTAGCTCCGGCTGCATGTGGGAGGAAGGAAAGGTGGGAGGTGGTGGGGGGAGGAGGGTTGGGGTGGTGGTGGTCCAGGTTGGGTACCCCTCTGTCCACCAGGACATCTCAGAGGAGAGGCACATGGCTGGGTGGCAGCTCCCACACGTTGGCATGTGGAAACCCTTGCACCATACTCCCACCTCATCTAGTTCTGCATTTCTGCAGGGAAGTAGCTGCCAAGTTACAAGTCTTTGTGGATGCCCGGGGAATGAGAACCTTCCAGAAGTGTCGGTGATGGGGACACTTGGTGGGGAATGCCCAGTTATCTAGGCATCAAACTTGCTTCATTCCGAGCTGAGTTTCTGGTGTCCTGGGGCCCCAACAACTTTCCCAGCAGCCCCCTAAACAGCATTCTGTTTGTATGTTCTCTTGACCCTGGACCTGTACGCAAAGTGGTCCTAGTTTTGTCTGTGCCTGAGGCTGATCCCTCATCCCAGAGTATTACAGTCAGTCTTCTAATGCCTCATCCTTGCATTTCCCGGTGCACACTTTTGCAAAGAACTGAGATGAAGGGGGAGAAACTGCATCTTAAATGAGGTGCGGAGGCCTGTAAATTTTCTAGAATTTTCTAGTTAGGTGTGTGCATGTATATGGTGCTTGCAGTTTTCTAAGGTCACAGATGCCATTTCAATGATCACGGATGAAAATCATGTTGTCTGCTCATATAGAAATCAGTAAAATAGTCATGAAACACCCTCATGTGGTTTTATTTGCCTGGTTAAAGGATATTAAAATGAAAAGGTACTGATTATTTAATGCTGTGTTATGTCACATTGTATGATCTGGCAAAAACAATTTAATAAAATTAAAAGCAGGCGGGGTTAAATGTTAATTTATAAGGTTTGTCAGGTTCTGCGTTATCTTGATTATGAGCTGTTTGGTACCAAATGGCAGGGAGATATATCATAGAAACCTTTGTACAAAGATGGAAAAAAAATGTTGAAATTTCCTCTAGGTCATGACAAAAACAACAGCATATAAGAAAAGATTTATTTTAATTCACGATCACGACCACCCTGTTGTTCGTCGATTGCCTCGAGCAGGTGCCAGTAACGTCTTCTTCGTCCTAGCCCTGAGATTTTTTTTTTTTAAAGTGCCATATTCAAGGCTTTTTCAGGGTTAGGAGAATGAGACCCATCATTGTTACTGGTATTTGGCATATTGGGTATACCACGGGGAGTTTGCCAGACTCTGCCATGTGGGCATGTTACATTTGGTAGCCTGCCAGTTTGACCGAATTAGGAAAGAGATGATAAGATGTCACGCGGCCGCGAATGCTGAGTGCGATAATCTCTGGATCCTGGCCGTTGTTGGAGTTACACGGCAGTTGGTGGGTGTAACTGTCTAGTTACTGGCAGTTCCAGTCCCAAACTGTGCAGGCTTGGAGATCTCAGCCCCGGGTCCCACACACCTGGGTTCCTCTGCCAGTTCTTTTATGCGTGAGGCTCATCCAAGTGTGTGGAGAGTGCTCCCAGCATGGCCTTGGCTGGGCCTCGATGGTCTTCAGCTGTTGGGCCCTGGTGGAGACAGTCAGGCATAGGGTAGGAGACTCTGCCTTGTTCTCTCCCAGGAGCTGAGTGTGATGATCTCTGGATCCCGGCCGTTGTTGGAGTTACACGGCAGTTGGTGGGTGTAACTGTCTAGTTACTGGCAGGTCCAGTCCCAAACTGTACAGGCTTGGAGATCTCAGCCCCGGGTCCCACACACCTGGGTTCCTCTGTCAGTTCTTTTATGCGTGAGGCTCATCCAAGTGTGTGGAGAGTGCTCCCAGCAAGGCCTTGGCTGGGCCTCGGTGGTCTTCAGCTGTTGGGCCCTGGTGGAGACAGTCAGGCATAGGGTAGGAGACTCTGTCTTGTTCTCTCCCAGGAGCTGAGTGTGATGATCTCTGGATCCTGGCCGTTGTTGGAGTTACACGGCAGTTGGTGGGTGTAACTGTCTAGTTACTGGCAGGTCCAGTCCCAAACTGTACAGGCTTGGAGATCTCAGCCCCGGGTCCCACACACCTGGGTTCCTCTGTCAGTTCTTTTATGCGTGAGGCTCATCCAAGTGTGTGGAGATTTTTTTTATGACCCTAAAATAATTAATTATTTTAATTACTCATGGTAATATGGCTGCAGGCAAAGGTGATTTATCTCCTTATTTCACTTTGCCCCCCAATATCTGTTATAAAAATTATAAAATTTAGACATTTATCGATTTGGGGAATCACAAATCCTTAAGTGCTGAGGAATTGTTTTCAGCCATACTCAAGGGAAGATATAGTGCAAGGGATAAAACTGGGACCCCCAGATGCAGCTAGCTCTCCTCACCCCCAATATCTATTATTTTAAACTGGTAATTGCTACCTGTGTTTCGATTGAGTATACAGTCTGTACCAGGACAATGTACAATTAACAGGGAAGTACATTCTGAAAATATTGTTTATATTTTTATATTAGATATCTTATGAGTATCAAGTAGCTCAAATTTTATTGTTCACCATGTTTATATCTGCTTTGGCAACATATTTCAAGTGTTTTCAAATGTTTCCAACCATCTGGGTGAGAAAAGTCCCTTATTTGCTTTGAATGATATGTCAGATAAACCGTATATTTCATAGTAATTTTGGGTTACAGCATAAGCCTCTGCAAGTTATCAGACACTCTTGGGCGGAAGACACTGACAATCACTTGCAAATTCTTCATGAAATCAGGGCAACTTTAAAAGTGAAACCAGAAGCAAAAGTCAAGTTTTCTATTTACAAATGGATTCTTAAGTCCTGCAGAATGTACGGAATCTGGTTTTCAGGTCATCTTACTTCTTTCTGTCTTTCCCATGGGATTAAAATGGAAACTTCCATCCTGAAGTCATCGGCAAGCCTTCAACTCAATGTTCCAACATGCAGGAGAGCTTAAGTGTTAGTCTTTCAACAATTAAAATGAACCAGAATTAGAATATTAAAGAAATGTCTTTACAATTGTAAAGCACTGTCGTGGCATTGGAATTTTAAATGAAGTTTAAAAATTCAGGAAATAAATATATTTCTCTTTTTCTTCAGCGCTGTTTCTATATTGGGTGATGGCCTTTATTACCAAAACCATAAAGCTGGTCAAGTATTGGCAGTCAGGTTGGGATATATCAAACCTCCGTTTCTGCATCACTGGTATGATGGTCATCCTGAATGGACTCCTGATGGCTGTAGAGATCAATGTCATTCGGGTCAGAGTAAGTCTCTAAGCACTCATAGTAATAATTAAAAATGATTGACATTACCAGCTGTCTATCATCCACATGTATAATATGAAATCAAACCACTAATGGTCCAAAAATCTCCATATGACCCTAGAAGTTATTTATTTATTCATAAATATCCAGTGCCTGATGTACAAATATTTTGTTCCATTTACAGTTCATATAAGATAATTTTATACCTGGTCTGTAATTACAGATATCTTGTACATAGTGGTTCCAGTTTCTGATGTGTGACACACTAATGACATGCTTTTCTCTCTGTGTTTTTTATGAAGCCCTTTGAATTCATTCTGAATGGCAGAAATTAGTGGAGAAGATACGATTTACATTAGCCAGACCACAAATTGACAGTCAGTGTTAGTGTTGATAACACATTTTCAAAAGCTAGAAAATGTAAAAATGTAAAATATTCATTGGTATATATCACAGATATAAAATATTGATTACCAGCAATAGCTTTAAAAAAAAATTTACCTGGAGCCAGAGCGATAGCACAGTGGGTAGGGCATTTGCCTTGCACGCGGCCGACCCGGTTTTGATCCCCGGCATCCCAAGCACCACCAGGAGTAATTCCTGAGTGCAGAGCCAGGAGTGACCCCTGGCTGGGTGTGACCCAAAAAGGCAAAAAAAAATGCCTTTTAGGGGACTGGAGTGATAGCACAGCGGGTAGGCGTTTACCTTGCATGCGGCTGACCCGGGTTCAATTCCCAGCATCTCATATGGTCCCCTGAGCACCGCCAGGGGTAATTCCTGAGTGAATGAGCCAGGAGTAACCTCTGTGCATTGCCAGGTGTGACCCAAAAAGGCAAAAAAAAAATGCCTTTTATGAGTTGAACCGCCCAGAGCAAAATGTGAAATTAAGGTATGAGTTAATGTCATTGTATCAAAAGAAAGTTATTTCAAAGAATATTTTAGAAAGGTATAGAAGGAGGAATTAAAATCCAAATTGCGTGACGGTCAGAGAGATAATACAGTGGTTAGGGTGCTTGCCTTGCGTGCAGCCAACCCATATCTGATTCCCAGCTATATGGTTCCCCGAGCCCACAAGGAATAATCCTTGAGTGCAGAGCCAGGAGTATGCCCTAAGCACTGCTGGGTGTGGCCAAAACCCTCAAATAAATAAATAAAAACAGAAGTGTCACATTCAGATATTCAAATATAGAACACTTTGTCTTTAATATGTGGAAAGAATTGGGTTGCTTGTTACTCTGTGGAATTTTTCTTGCCACAGAGATATGTATTCTTCACGAATCCTCAGAAAGTAAAACCTCCAGAAGACCTCCAGGACCTGGGCGTACGATTCCTTCAACCATTTGTAAACTTACTGTCAAAAGCAACATATTGGTGGATGAACACACTTATCATATCTGCTCATAAGAAGCCTATTGATCTGAAGGCAATTGGAAAACTACCAATAGCAATGAGGGCAGTCACCAATTATGTTTGCCTGAAAGAGGCATATGAAGAACAAAAGGTAATTTTCTATTTTTAATGTCTATAATTGTAGAGTATGGTCTGTTAAACAGAAAGTCACTGAGCATGGTTATCGCAGGTTAACAAAGGACAGACTCTGTTTTATGCAGTAATTTTGTATCATGTCAGTTGGATTTTTGAGAATATACTGGAAAAGCCAGTAAAATATACCTGGGTCATGTTTCTTTTGCAGTCATTTCATGAAGTGGCATAGGGAGAGTATTGTCCCATATCTGGAGTCAGTTGGAGAGTAATAATTAAGCTCAGTTGATCAGCTGTGGTAATCCTTATTACCATCTGAGAGGATTAACTTATTAAGCTTTGTTATCAATTTTTAAGTATACCATCAATTGTACTAGTATTAAGAAAAATAGATTACATCTATTAAACCAACATCAAGAAACTAAAATCCTTTATCAAAATTTGGACTTTATCGTTCAAAGGAGAAGCCTAGTTAATTAATGAGGCATCACTATCATCGATAATAGGGATGCTGGCATGGTGAATCAGTAAAGAGTTTTGACTCTTCTAAATCATGATCAACAAAGCAATTATAATCAATGATGAAAACGACCTCTGTTTTGTATCAAAAGAGTACATTATGAAATTAATGTTTCAGGAAACAGTTACTTAAAAATGAACCTGAGTCATCTCTCCAGTTTCACCTCTGGGAAAAGTATTGCACAATAATTTAAAAACTTCTTTCTTTCAGTAAATACTAATATTTTAGCAATATATAGCCTAGCTTAAGTATGCTATGATTATAGGAGAGTAGCTTGAACTTGGTTTGTTAACACCTTTTATAAATGAAGTTTAATAGAGGTTTATTTAAAAAAATTTTTAAATGTTCAGTTTAAATAAAAGGGCTGTAGAGATAGTACAGCAAGTAGGGTGGTTGCCTTGCGTGCACTAGGTTTGATTCCCACGTCCTGACAGATTTCTGAGTGAAAAGCCCGGAGTAAGTCCTGAACACAAATGGGAGTGGCCCCAAACACAACTATAAGGAAAGAAAGTTTTGAGAATAATCAAATTATTTATCTAATAGGAAGTTGAATATAAAACACAATTCAAGTTTATTGCATTGAACTGACTCTGTCGCCACTGTGAAAAAAATTTTTTCCAAGACTTAATTATGATTATTTTTGTCTTAAAAAATCTTTCCAATATGTAACTGTAGATGAGTAAAGTCATGGTATGGAATACATGTATATATCACCCTTCATTTCTTTGAGTAAGTAGGAAACACAAGTCTAATGTAACTTTGAGAAGTATTGTCTACCATTCTTGGGGATCAATACCCAGAGGACAGGACCCAAAAGTACAGAGGGGAGATGCTTGCCTGGGCACTGCGTATGGCTACTGAGGCCCGCCAGAAGTGATCCCCAAGCACAGAGCTGGGTGTACCTCCCTCAACACCCCAAATCCTTCAACCTTTCCATACGAAATACACAGAGGATCAAATACCCATCCCTCCATCAGTGCCCATTTCCCACCACCACAGATGCCAGATCATTGTATAATTGAAACCAAGCACAAAATTTGTAAGTCTACAACTGTACTTCATGGTGTCTCACTAATAAAAAAAATTAAAAAAGAAATACACAGAGGAGAAATTATTTGAAATTGAGATGATCTTTTCTGTTTAGCTTAAGGATTTTGACTGGCAAATCTTTTGTGATCAGAAATCTTAACCAGCTTGTACTAAGCTTCATCTTTGTACTTTCCTGATTTCCATGAGATGTAATTTGGTAATATTCATGGAAGACAAATATTTTCCAAATCGAAGGAAGTTGACTTTAGTCTGGACTTGATTTGGGGGTTATCTTTTGACAACTAAAAATAACTTGCAGAGAAAAGTCTTTGAAAATGTGCCTCAATTATTCTTCGTTCCATGGCATCAACATATATCCAGTAGTAGAGTTTGTAGAGCCTACAAGGATTTAGACTTAACGTACTATACGAAGTGGGATTTATAGGAACCTATTCATATTTATTTTAAAATATAAAAATGACTGGGGAACATAAAGTAACAAAATAGGAGACTAACACCCAAGAATGGCCGAGATTAGTACCAGGAATTTTGCTCCATGGCTTGGAGGCTAGCTACACATGCTAGGGGAAAAGGGAGCTCAGATAGAGAAGGGAGCACCAAATCAAGGGTGTTGGGAGGATCCTCCCAGGATGGGAGAAGCATGCTGAAATTAGACTATAGTCCAAATATGATTGCTACTCAGTGCCTCTTTTGCAAACCATAGCACCCAAAAAGAGAGAGAGAACAAAAGGGAATACCCTGCCACAGAGGCAGGGTGGGATGGGGGGGATGTGGGGGTGGGAGGGATACTGGGACCCGTGGTGGTGGAAAATGGGCACTGGTGGAGGGATGGATATTTGATCATTGTATAATTGAAACCCAAGCACAAAAATTTGTAAGTCGGGGCTGGAGAGATAGCACAGTGGGTAGGGCGTTTGCCTTGCACGCGGTCGACCCGGGTTCGACTCCCAGCATCCCATATGGTCCCCTGAGCACTGCCAGGAGTAACTCCTGAGTGCAGAGCCAGGAGTAAACCCTGTGCATTGCCAGGTGTGACCCAAAAAGAAAAAAAATTGTAAGTCTACAACTGTACCCCATGGTGTCTCACTAATAAAAATTTAAAAAATAAAATAAAATATAAGAATGAATTTACAGAGTTGTTGAGATTATTTCCCACTCTCTTATTTTGATTTTTTTCTCTTTCTTTCAGAAAAAAGTAGCAGATCACCCCAACTCGACTCCGTCTATATGGCTCGCAATGTACAGAGCTTTTGGGCGACCCATTCTACTTAGCAGTACATTCCGCTACCTTGCTGACCTACTGGGATTTGCTGGCCCTCTCTGCATCTCTGGAATAGTTCAGCGCGTGAATGATACTCAAACTATGACGAAAACACCAGGAGTAAGTTCCTGGTGCTTGTGAAAGGAAAGATGTGATTGGCAGATTTCATTGTCGATACTCACTTTATTATTTTTTTTTCTATCGCACTTTTATGAGCAGTTCAAATAAGCTCTCTTTACACAGGACTAAATGCTTTTTAAAAAAAAGAAAACAATCATCTTTCTTGTAGAGAAAATCATGTGTTTATGTATTCATTAAATGGACCTGGCCAACAAAATTATTTCTCAGATTCAGAGGCTATAAACATTTAATAAGTTTCTGCCCTGTGCCAGGAACGATGTTCAGAAATTTTACACTGATTATTTATTTTGATCTTTATGGCACCCCATTAAAGTATGTTTGTGCTCATTCTGGGCGGGTGACTGAGTCACTACTTTAGAGGTCTGTGACCAATATTGTTAATGATGCGATTGGTAATACATACAAACTTTCTCTCTTCTTCGCTAATAAAAAACATCACTGTTTCACAATAATCAGGGAGAGTCACAGTATGATATTTTTTTTATTAGAAGTTATTTTACTACTTGGATGCTCTCTGGCCTAAGAAACTATGTATTACTGTTAAACGTGTGTAATCTTTAATTTCCTGATGTAGGAGACTTCAAATGTGACTCATTTCCCTAGTTTTGTAGACACTTAGTCCGGTTGCATCCATTTCTCTTAGCTAGTTCCTCATTCTGATTCCCTGTACCTCTTACCTTATTCCTGGCTTCCAAGCCTGTCTCTCAGGGTGCCTCCAGAGTAAAATGCTGATTGTCCTACCTGAAAAGGACTCTTTTTGCAGTCAACACAGAATCTCCCTTGGACTCACTCTTCAGTACTGCTGATAACGAAGCCTGCGTTTGTGATAGATGGTCTGACTTCCTGGGCTGGAAGCTCCACACAGTAACTGTGAACTGTTGGTACTTGTGCCTGCAGAGCCCAGTGTAGATCCTTGGGTCCATCACTGCTCAGGAATTTTTGAAGCGAACAGATATTTCCCCAGGGAATTTTCTTTTCTAACCCATCACTGCTAATTGTAGGACATATAGCTCTCTAAAAGCCACATAGAAACCTTCTGTCATTTCTCCTCTATACGTCCTAAATGAATGTCTTTTCAAGAAGAAAGCATATCTTTTCATGAGTGAAGAAGAAATTTAAAAATTATTTTTATTTTTTAAAGTAGTTCACAATATTTGATTACATTTAATATTCAAACACCAAGCCCACCACCAGTACACCTTCCCACCACCAAATTTGGAATGTTTCCCATCCCAGAGTAAAGAAGAAATTAAAAGTAGAATGTAATAGATGGAAAGTATGAAAACTCAGGTTTATCCAAATTTGTGCCATATTGTGTAATTTATTTGTTTAGAATAAATTAAGATGGCCAAAAATCAGCAGAATTTTGCTGGATAGAATCAGTCTAAAGTAACGAGTCTACAGATATACTTTTGTTTCACTGGTTTGACTGCTTGACTAATTAGTTTTGTAATTTCTGCTTGTAACAAGGAATCTAAAATAACTTCTGGTTTCATTTACTGCTTCACATTTAGTTTAGATAGACTATCTTTGTAGAAAATGTACTCAGATTTTAAGATGAAAATTAACTATTTTCTACAATTTAGTATTTTTAGCTATCTTGTCAATGAGAATTTTATGAATTGAATTAATTTTATTTCTAAGAAAATCCAAAACTCTTTTTATAGATCATCCCACTGTTCCATTATAAAAATAAGGAGTTTTTAAAATTAAAAAAGCCATGTATTGTTTTCTTTAAAAAAGTATCAAATTTATTTATAGTTTAATTTTAAAATTAAAACTGTTGAACTTTTGTGATTTAAAATTCATTATAAGAACTGAAGACATTAATAAACTATTAAATATTGACATGAAAAATTAGACCATGCATATATAAAACCCATGTTTAATAGCAAAAAGTTATATTGCTTAACTGAAGAATAAATCCTTTAGCCCTTTATTCTTTGACATAATTTAGCTTTTCACCCAATTATTGGTTCTGTACAGCAAAATATTTCCAACTTTGACACTTATGAATTAATGACTTGACTGTTATTCTTTAAGCATTCTTTAAAATAAATGTAAATTTTTAAAATGTGCACTCCATGAACCTATTTGATAAAAAAAGAATAAAGGGTATCACCACTACATGAGTTATATCAATAAATGATATAAAAAACAAGAGGTACTATGCAATCAGCAAATTATCCAATAATCTGTTAAGATATTTTAAATACTATTACTAGCACAACTAGGAATAAACTGGCTCCAAGGTAATACAAGCCTTGGTTGGCATCTTTCTTGAAAGCTCTATCTTTAAAATTTTTTCTGACCTTCGGGATTTAACCTATGACCTCACACATGCAAGTCAAGAGCTCTACCGATGAGGTACATCCCCAGCCCTTTCCTGAAAGCTTTAATTGATAATATTACTCTACCCAACAAAGTCATCTCTAAGAAAATGGCAGCACTTTTAAGGACAAAAATTATTATATCCAGTAGGTAGTATTCTATATGGTCAAGATAATAAGAAAATTTCCCATAAAATTAGAATTAAAATACTTTCCATGTCTGATAATTACTAGTTAGTATCTCAAAGAAAAATTTAAAAAAATAGAAATACTCAATGATTAATATTTACTCTGCGAAAGCCAGAAGTTATTCTATTCAAAGAAATAAGCAAACATGATAAAGATATAATAAACTGTCTCTGTTTTTAATTATAGCATACTTTCACCTCAGGCCTGCTCTGATTTTTCACATGAGTTTCCTTTGTCCAGAACAGGAACCCATTTAAATCCTTTCTTTGAATATTGTTCATAATCTAAAGTTTTTATCAGCTGGATGTTTCTATGTCAGTACAGAAGCTACAATATGGCGCATGACTAGGCAATTATGAAGAAACTGTAGATATAATAAATGCATATTTACAGTGACTTCTATTGGAAGCCTAAAAATTGCTATAGACAGGAGGTCAGAACACGATAATCTTCCACATGCTCAGACTTCACTTACTATATAATAGTATCATAAAATCCAGGAAAGAAGCATCAGTGGGTCCTTCCAAAGCTGCAAAATTTTCCAAGTGATTTCCCTCTGGCTGTAGAACCAGTTTATTCCTTCAATCTTTTTTCACTCTTTTAGCTTTTGCAATATTTTCTTGCCGTTTTTATTTCTTTTTCTGCTCCTTTTCCTTAGCCTCAATCATTTTGGCCAATTTCCAAGACAATACTGCACTTGCTAAAAACAATGGAGGAAGGGCCAAAATAACTGTTGTAAGAAAGCCGTAACAATCCTTTGCAGCCCGTTCCACGACATACTCATCCCAAGCCTTGATATCAAACATCTTTGTAGCAGTCCCAGGCTCAGTGGTCTCTAACCGTCCTGGATGACTCGAGCCTTTCACAACCTTGGGTGGCCGTGTCTCCGTTGCCTCCTCTTCTTTAGCTCTACCATGCACATCTGAGAGGTGCCCAAATCCTTTTGCCAACGGCCCCACACAGCCCAAGCCCATCACCCGGGCCGGACCCCAACTCACCCCCAAAAAACCATGTATTGTTTAATAAATGTGAGCAGTATGCCCAGTTTCTGAAAAAAAATTAGTGTTCATCTCTTCTCTTTTTTCTTTTGGGATAAGACTGCAGACACCCTTTCGTCAAAGGAATTTCTTGAAAATGCATATGTGCTGGCAGTTCTACTCTTCTTGGCCCTCATTCTGCAAAGGACATTTTTGCAGGCTTCCTACTATGTCACCATCGAGACTGGCATTAATCTTCGTGGGGCTCTGCTGGTATGTACAAGCGGTGAATGATCTTCTCTTGAAAAGCCAACTATCATTTTCATTTTATTTTCACTTTGATACTACAGCATCATTCCTTCTGCGATCGACTTATTAAAACAAACACACATCTGTTATAAACCTATTGAATTAAAAATAACTTTGACAGCGATTTTATAAATGGGCAGAGCACATACCAGGAGTGACTTTTAAGCACAGAGCTTGAGTAGCCCTTGAGCACTAATGGGTGGACCCCAAACCAAAAATAGTAATAATAATATAATGCAAAAAACCCTTTCATATCTCACATTTATCTTTTTCTCTGTGATCTAGAGTCTATGCTTAAAGTTGAATGTATGTTTTCATGTTGCCAGGAAAAAAAAGTCTATTTAACTGAGAACTTAAAAGTAACTTTGCTAAAATAAAAATAGTGGTTGACTTAAGAAGAGTCCATTATAGGTTTTACGTCCCTTTTTTAAAAAAAAATTCAGGCATATTTTTATGAATATAATTGTATTGATGATTATGTTTAGATTTGTCAGTACATCTCTAATTTTTTATTTTTGCAGGCCATGATATACAACAAAATCCTTAGACTCTCTACATCTAATTTGTCCATGGGTGAGATGACCTTGGGACAGATCAATAACTTGGTTGCCATAGAAACAAATCAACTCATGTGGTTCTTGTTCCTGTGCCCTAATCTTTGGGCTATGCCTGTTCAGGTAAAACAACACAAGCAGTTTCTCATTGTGCAGAGGAAAGAAGGAATAAGGCATAAGATTTGATGTAAAGAGTTGAGTTTGTGAGTGCGAATGCTCTGATGTCCTTTGGATACACAGGCCCATTGGATCGCATTATAGCACAGAGAGCTGACGCCCAGAAATGCTAGGTTAAAACGTGGGTTTGGGATTGTACTGCAAAGACTCAGATATTTGCTCTATCCTCTGTGCTCATGCCATCAAATACTGGTTTTCTTAACTGAGAAATGGAAATGATAATAGTACTTCCTGATAGATTTGCTGAAATGGTCAAGATTAAATGAGTCAATATTGGGAAGTATTCAGTTCAGTGCTCAGTATTTTGTGGGTACTCAGTAATTAATTCTCTGTGATTAACTATCACAGTCCAAATTCAGATACGTCACAGAACCAGGGTCTGACCCCTTTCACTTCTGCGGACTCTAACAGTATTTCAAAACTGGAGTGACTGCTTTAATCCATTGGTGCTTTCAATACTGTTTTATAAAATGCTAAACTTTATCAGGTCAAAAGAACATTGAGAAAACACCACTAATTAGCTATTTTCTACCGAAAATAGAATTTCAGTTAAGACAGGATATTTGTCCTCTCTGGTTCAAAATGGCATAAGTGTATTCAGTTTTGTCTCTTATGTGATGCTGAATGTTAATTATCTCAGAGCATGCACCCAGAAAGCAAAGCAGAACCCATAGTTCCCACCCTCAGTCCCCTATGTTTCTGTGTTTAAAATACAGAAAATGATATGGAGATGTGGTAGCTTTAAATGTATTGTTTGCTCTTTTTAATGAAAATCCAAGTCAAGTAAAAGTGTCTCTTGGGCACAGTGTTTGGCACAAAGGAAGATGTGAAATATCCTTTGTCAACTTTCAGCAAGTTACACGTTCACAGGTCACTAGATGGCTGCCTGCTTGGTAGAACTGAAATCACACCCAATATCCCAGGCTGGCTCTGACTTGCATCTGCGATGATCTTCAGGACATTTTCATTTTGGCTAAATTCCAAAGAGCCGGTTGGTATGGAACCAATATGTGCCACAGCCTCCAGAAAAGCCAATATTGATCCCTTATCATCAATACATAGCAAAGTAATGCTTTATCTCAAAATAATGCAGGAGATCACCAAGGGTAAAGCTGTCACTGATGGAGAAAGTTCACAATGGTTCATGCATTAACTCATGGCTAGAATTCACAAGTCCACATGGTAATCTCAGCTACTGGGGAAAATGGTTTTCAGGGTGAAAAGATAGCTAACTCAGATCCCAAGTCTTTTTTAAGAGGAACAAGAAAATAGTCAATAAGAGATGGGAGCTCTAAAAAATTACATTTTCAAAAGAAATGAGGTGAGATGGGGAACCAGCTTTAACGCCTTTCCAGTTTTAGAGAGATCTGGACTTCTAATCCTTCAGTCCTTTCTGGGGTCTTTGAGGAACGCAGGAGTGTAGATTTCCCTAGCAGCTAACAGGCAACACTTCATACCCACCTGTATTAGATTTCTGTGCTCTGCTTTCTGCCCTTCCTGCCTCAAACAACTTTGAGCGCACCTCAAGAATATGGTGAAAGGCCACATGTGTGGGAGGTGACGTCATTTCTAAGAAAAATGTCATGCCGTGTCCTTTTAAAAACCTGAGGTCTGCTTTGGAAGTTGAAGCATCATGAGGCCACTCGGCAAGTTCATGCGGTAAATTGGTTTGACACCAGCTGTACGCATCAGCGTGCTAAAAATAAGTTCCTACTGCGTAGCCTTCCTCAAATAAATCCCAGTCTAATCCAACTGTCACAGTTGAGTTGACTTCCAGATAAACAAATATGCTAATGAGGAAAGACTACATTTTCACTAAAAGAGCTTTATATTTCATGCACTGGTCTGTGCCCTCCAATGTGTGCTCGCGTGTATGTACACACACACACACACACACAGACTCACATTCATTCCCCTTTGTCCGTGTTTTCCTCCCTAGATCATCATGGGGGTGATCCTTCTCTATAACCTTCTCGGATCCAGCGCGTTGGTTGGGGCTGCTGTCATTGTTCTCTTGGCACCAATTCAGTACTTCATCGCCACGAAGTTGGCAGAGGCTCAGAAGAGCACTCTTGTAAGTAATATCTTTGGAAACATCTAGCAGAGCCATGCAGACCACTCAGGATTCTTTGGAAATAATTCAGTGGGCCAACAGCGGCTAGATATTCTCCGTGCTTCAGAAATAACTTTTAGGAGTGGATTTGAAGGCTAACACAGGATGATCCTAGACTCAAGATACCAGTATCTGAACTCTTGGTGTTGGTCAGAGATAGGATGGGAGGCTATTGACTGCGTAATCTCCATTACTGACTGAGGAACTGTAATGGTTTAAAGGGGTTAGAGGGAAGATACCTAGGTCACCCTTGGCCACAAAGTTCTGGGAGGAGAAGGAAAGACAGAATGAAGGGGAAAAGGAGAAGAGATAGATGAGAAGCAATGGAGGCAGGGGTCACGGGGATTCAGGTACATTGGTGGTGTTAAGAAATGATAGAGGGGCTGGAGCGATAGCACAGTGGATAGGGCGTTTGCCTTGCACGCAGCCAACCCGGGTTCGATTCCCAGCATCCCATATAGTCCCCCGAGCACTGTCAAGAGTAATTCATGAGTGCAGAGCCAGGAGTAACCCTTGTGCATTGCTGGTGTGACCCAAAAAACAAACAAAAAAAAAAGATAGAGCTAAATATCCAGACCACAGAATTAGCAACACTGAAATCATGAGACCTGAACTTTAGTAACCAAACATAAAAGGTTCCTATCTTGATGGCTGGGGCTGGTAGGGACACGTGGTAAGAGAGGGACCCTGGTTACACTGGTGGAGGGCAGCTGACGCTGGCGGCAGGATCAGGAATGGAATATTGTTCGACAAAAACTCAACTATGAATAACTTTGTAACTCACCATGCTTTCGTAAAAGAAAATGTGGGGACAAAAATGAATTCACTTCATGTGCAGCAGGCCAACGGATTTTGTTTGTTGGTGATGAGGAAGAAGCAGATCAAGAAACAAAGGGTCGGCTCAGAACTTCTGAAATTCCATTTTCCCGGGGGACGAGGGGGTTGGATACAGCCACGGGAGGACTCTGGTGCTGCCTTGTCTGCCTGGCGATGTTCATGGTCAGCTCGGCAAGTCAGAGAGAGCCCAGTCTTTGACCCTTCCTGGCTTCACAGGGCCATGAAATCACTTCGCTTGAGCTAACACAATTGGCTTCTTGGAAAGAACGAGGTTTCAAATAATAAAATTGTTGACGACACATTTAGAAATAAAGTTTTGGCTAGACCCGAGCGAGGCTGTCTGTGAATCGGGCATGAAATGTGAGGACCAGCCACCAAGGGAAACAGAGCCAGGCCTGACGAGCAAGCTGCCTGTCACGCAAGTGGGGTGGATCCCTTGTTTTTCTGCTGCTCCTGGGAGGTTACTCAGGATTTTTGTCTGAGCCGTCAACCCGCTTCACTCCAAACACGCAGACAGAAAGGTATGGGCGAGGGGACAGACGGGAGACAGGATGAGCCCCAGACATCTGCTTTGATTTAGCTGCTCGCTCTATGTTCATCCACTCACTCGACACTCACTCATCAGGCATCTGAGACCAGAGAGACAGGAGGATGAATGAAAATAAAAGGCATTTGTGAGTTTCCTTTCATCTCATCTGTCCGATGGGCCAGTCTGCTACTACTTTCCATTACTTCCAGTACCATCTTACTGTTTGGTACTTCACAGGTAATACTTGGTGGTGAAGGAAGCTAGAGTGGGTTACTAGGTTGAGATTTTTAGTCTCTTACCAGTATCCCTGCAGTTGATCTAAGTTGCTAGTTGTCACTCAACTGAATTGATTCTTCCTGAAACAGTTTTTTAAGATGATACACTTGGCTTCAATAAGTGTTTTCTGAAGCTGCAGTGCAAACACTCTCATGACTAAGAAGCAAATGAACTTAAATTCATGGTTTCTCTTGGAAGGGCTAAGGGGAGAAGGGCAGAAGGATCCAGATATCAGGAGGGTCATTTCCCTAAGTGTAAGGGTAGGAAGGAGACATTACTGAAGATGATAGCGTGACACCCAAGAAACTACCTTTTTTTAAAAAAAATTTTATTAGTGAGACACCATGAGGTACAGTTGTAGACTTACAAATTTTGTGCATGGGTTTCGATTATACAATGATCAAATGCCCATCCCTCCACCAGTGCTCATTCTCCACCACCACTAATCCCAGTATCCCTCCTACCCCCCCCATCCCCCATCCCACCCTGCCTCTGTGACAGGGCATTCCCCTCTGTTCTCTCTCTCCTTTTGGGTGTGTTAGCCAAGAAGTTGTAGTTGAAGTAGCCGTGCATTATAACACCATATGGTAGGTGTGCATCATTAAGAACCTGCTTTTATTTAAACCAAAGTCACAGAGTCATGAGAGTTTTCAGTGGAAAAAAAAATTTACATCACCTTCTGAATTCAAACCATTTCTTTTGAGATTCTCATGACCACCCTTGAAGGCAGCACTGGGCCACCTACAAAGATTTTAATCTCTTTCCACTCCCTGCCTCTCTGATGCATTTGGATGCTGTGGGCACTGATCTCATTTTTATTTTATAGGATTATTCCACAGAGAGACTGAAGAAAACCAATGAAATACTGAAAGGCATCAAACTTCTCAAGTTGTATGCCTGGGAGCACATTTTCTGCAAAAGCGTGGAAGAAACAAGAATGAAGGAACTCTCCAGCCTCAAAACCTTTGCCCTTTACACATCTCTCTCCAGTAAGTTCCACCAAAACATGTGATTTGTTGGGTTTAGCTTGGGATCAGTGAAAAACTTAGTGAAAAGCTCAGTTCATTAGAGAAAACTCATTTATTTTCCACATAAACTGGGACTAATAGCCCATGAGCCACTGGAGGCTACTTAAACTTAAATTTTGGAGCAGGGTAAGGGCCAGTTAGACCTGAACTGGATTCCTTTGTTGTGTACCTGGTTATGTTTACATCTGAAATTCTTGTTTCCTCTGCCTGTAAAACGGCATGTTGGTGGGGTGGCGATGGTGGTACCTTAGACTGAAATTTCCTTCTCAGTTACAATTGGGATGAGGTAATTGTTTTTTTCAGAAAAAAAAATTATTTCAATTGATTCACTGTATTACTACTGCCCTTTTATTTCACGGAAATGCTTTTAAGTGATCTGCAGTTGTCTGATCACTTAAAGTCTGAGTTGAGCTGGAGTGATAGCACAGCGGTAGGGCATTTGCCTTTCGCGCAGCCAGCACGGCCAAGCCGGGTTCGATTCCTCCACCCCTCTCAGAGAGCCTGGCAAGCTACCGAGAGTATCTCACCCTCATGGCAAAGCCTGGCAAGCTACAAGCTACCCGTGATGTATTCAATATGCCAAACACAGTAACAACAAGTCTCAAAATGGAGAGGTTACTGGGCCCGCTCGGGCAAATTGATGAACAACAGGAGGACAGTGACAGTGCAGTTGTCTGGTGTGTCTCCTGGTTATTCTTTCTTAGGTTATTCTATTTTCTTTTGTGCTTGAAATGTCACTTTGCAAAGCTGAAAGGAATGATTGATATCTTCAGGTGAACGAAGCCAAATGATGTCCATATAAGATTCACTTTTGAGCACATTTTGAAGAACTTTTAAATACAGAGCACTGGTTGGACAGGGGTGGGGCTGAGCAGTAGACTGCCTGTTGCACATGTGTAAGGTCTTGGCTTCTATTCCCAGCACCACCATGAAACAAGCGAAAATACCAAAGTACTTGTATCTTCTATCACGATCACGATCACGAACACCCTGTTGTTCGTCGATTGCCTCGAGCAGGTGCCAGTAACGTCTTCTTCGTCCTAGCCCTGAGATTTTTTTTTTAAAGTGCCATATTCAAGGCTTTTTCAGGGTTAGGAGAATGAGACCCATCATTGTTACTGGTATTTGGCATATTGGGTATACCATGGGGAGTTTGCCAGACTTCTATATCTTCTATACCCACTTCAAAAAAAATACTTTACTAAAACTTTTTTTCCCTCACAGTGTGACAGTATGTTCTCAAGAATCATGAGTTCATGTTTACATAATTTTTGAAAACTTAGCCGAACCGCTCCGCTAATATTTGATTCGATTTGTGTGTCAGTTTGGCTCATCTGTGTTGTTCTCAAGATGTCTGAAGCTTTTGTAGATTTATATATTGTTTCCTCTTGATTCTAAACTACGTTAGTTATAAGAGACTATAAATACTTCTCTGGGAAAAAGTTTTGGAGAAAATATTTTGTTTATGTCACTCATTTATGCCAGCCTGTATGCTCCGTATTTTAGAGGTGAATGCGAGAAGATTCACCTTCCAGCTGTGCACAGTGCTAATACAGCTTAGAAATGTCAGAAGGAAGAATAACTTATCTCCACTTACTCATATAATAGTGCTGTAAGATGGTAGTGCCCACAAGGCAGTCCTAGGACTGGACTCAAGATCTCGTTAGGAGAAAGCATGTAGTCAGAAACCATGATAGTGGTGCTAAAAAGAAGTTCATCTTATTTAATAGTAATATCAGATCATTGTTGCTATAAATAGCCTGGTGTGTGTGTGTGTGTATTCATTCTTTTTGTTTGTTTTTCAGCAATATTGCAGTGCTCAGAGTTTACTCCTGGCTTTGAGCTCAGTAATCACTTGTGGGCATAGAGGGCCATATAGGACACTGGGGATTGAACTTAAGTTGCTTGTGTGCAAGGCAAACGCCCTCCTTACTATATTATTGCTCTAACCCCTAGGTTGGCTTTTTTTTTTTTTGCTTTTTGGGTTACACCCAGTTATGCACAGGGGTTACTCCTGGCCCTGTACTCAGGAATTACTCCTGGTGGTGCTCAGGGGACAATATGGGATGCTGAGAATTGAACCCGGGTGGGCTGCATGCAAGGCAAATGCCCTACCTGCTGTACTGTTGCTCCAGCCCCTAGGTTGGCTTTTGAAAGTCAGTACCAAAAGGAGAAAAGAGAGAGACAGCTATGCAAGGGGAAAAAGAAGGAGAAGTCACAAAGTTAAAAGTGCTTAATTGGCCAACATGGCCGACCCGAGTTCGATTCCTCCGCCCCTCTCGGAGAGCCCGGCAAGCTACCGAGAGTATTCGATATGCCAGACACAGTAACAACAAAGTCTCCAATGGAGACGTTACTGGGCCCGCTCGAGCAAATTGACGATCAACGGGAGGGCCTTTACCTTTACCTTTACCTTGTGTGTGATAAGCAGGAGGAATTCTCGGTCAATGGTGTTGAGTTCAAGTTAAACCACTTTCAAGGTTGATGGTTTGCTTAAGTGCAATGCTCTTGGTGCTTTCAGAGCTTCAGCCATGTGAGCTGGCTACCCAGCCCAATCATTATGTTCCAACCTTTCATTATGGAACAACTCTCACCAAGTTCCTCATGTATTCAAAGCTGTTTCAAGTATTCATGTATTCATGTATTCAAGTATTCATGTATTCAAAGAATATCTACCATGTTGAATTAGAGCCAAGGGTAAAAAAAAATGTTGCCAAAGTTGATTGAATTATTGACCACTTCCAGACCCTCTGTCAGGTGCTTCAGGCTCATTATCTCACATCAAGCCCCTGGCAAATGGTCTCATCTTCAATAACATTCCAGAACTTTCCTCAGCTAAAAGTTGGTGTTATAATAATAATTTTCACAGATACAGTGTTAGGCAAGAGCGAGATAGTAAAACCACAACTTAAAAGCTGTTACTAATACTTGACCACTAGGATTTGTTGAGCTCTACGAGAGGACGAAAAAAAGTAAACTTTATCACGTTGTGGTCACGTTGGGTCTTAGAGGGCGAGCTGACCCAAAGTGTAATCCTGCGTCAGGCGCTAACTGGCTGTGATCCTGATCCATTTGCGGGAAGAGGGAGTCTCAATTTCTTCATCTGAAATCTGTGTCATTAAATAAGATAAAGTTTGCAAAGTGATTAGAAAAGCACAAGAAACATAAGGGTGGCACATCAGTGTTGCGCAAACATTTGCAAAGCAAAATTCAACAGCCCAATTATCGGTTGAACTAAGTGTCCATCCCTACTTGTGTTAATCTCTATTCTTTCCAATTGAGATAATATCTGGAGGGAAATAAAGTCTTTTAAACAATTTCCTAGTCCCCATTGCCAATTGGTAATGTGTTGCTTATAGATTCAGTTCATTGGTGAAAGGCAAAACAAACAAACAAAAGTCACCATTTTATGTGTCTCTCCTTGACAACCTTTTATGTGAAGAAGTGGAAAGAACATAAAACTGTTTGACCAGAGCAATCTGGATGTTAATTTTGCTCTGGGCCTCCTCCTTGGGAATGCGTTGTGCTCCTCCTCCTTCTGAAGCTACTTGCTTGCCCCTGTGATGCAGGGGGGGCGGGAGGAGGGGGTGAGTATAAAGAGAATAGTGTAATCTCTGCCTTGATGCCTCAGACATTGAGGATGGTTGAATAGCATCAGAGCAAAGAGGTGGCAAGCACAGTCTGAGGAGCAGGTTACCTGACTCTGAGCTGAGTCACCCTGAGCTCCCCATGACTGCAGTTACAATAAGACAGAAAGAGTCCCTGCTTCCTGTACCTGGGGCAGTGGAGCTGTTAGACATGGGACTCCTGAATAACATGGGTGTTGTTAACCACGCAAGTTCACTCACAACAATTGTCTTTGCAGTGACTGCAGATGGCTCTCCATAGACACAGGCACCACCTTCATGGTTCAACCAACCCTGATTGACCAGAGTTGAGATGAGTCTGTGGCTATCGAGTCCATCCGTGAGTGAGGGGGGTGCCAATTATCAGGGACTCGTAACAGCCACTGATTTCGGTATCTGTGAGGGGAAAGAAGATAGGGAGGTGGGGTCCAGAAACCAATTGCTCCAGATCAAGGTGCAACTTTAGCTAAGTGTTTGGGGCCATTTTGTGCTGGGTTTTCCATTGCGCAGGGGACTGTGTCCCTTCATGCCACCCCTTTCCAAGATGCAGCTCTCAACGGTTTCTAACAGAACAGCAGCTCTTACTCTTTCTCAAGTGGAGGCAACTTACTTAAAGGTGTAGAGAGAAAAATGCATCTTTCCTTCATTAAGATGAAAAGAAAAGAATGAAACACCCTTAGAAATCTGGGTGATTAGTCAAAAAAAGAAGATGAAGTGTGGCTCAGTGAAATCAGTCAGAGGAAGAGTGACAAACAAAGGATGAATACACTCATTTGTGGGATGGTAAAGATGGTAAAGGCCCTCCCGTTGATCGTCGATTTGCTCGAGCGGGCCCAGTAACGTCTCCATTGGAGACTTTGTTGTTACTGTGTCTGGCATATCGAATACTCTCGGTAGCTTGCCGGGCTCTCGGAGAGGGGCAGAGGAATCGAACTCGGGTCGGCCATGTTGGCTGCGTGCAAGGCAGACGCCCTACCCGCTATGCTATCGCTCCAGCCCATTTGTGGGATATGTTAAAAAAAAAAACACAGCACACGAGTACACCCAAAGACAGTAGAAAAAAAGTCCAGAAGGACTAGTTCATGGTAGGAAGCTTGCCACCAGGGGGGAAGAGGAGCGTAGTTAGGACAGAGAAGGAACCCCTATGACAATGATTATTGGAAATGATCACACTAGACATAAACTGAATGCTTAAAGGAAGTAAAGTTATATGCATGATACCTTTCCAGTGGGCTGGAGCGATAGCACAGCGGGTAAGGTGTTTGCCTTGCACGCAGCCAACATGGCCAATCCGAGTTCGATTCCTCCACCCCTCTCGGAGAGCCCGGCAAGCTACCGAGAGTATCCCGCCCACACGGCAGAGCCTGGCAAGCTCCCTGTGGCATATTCGACATGCCAAACACAGTAACAACAAAGTCTCATGATGGAGATGTTACTGGGCCCGCTCGAGCAAATCGATGAACAACGGGAGGACAGTGACCATGACCTTTCCAGTAACAGTATTGCAAACCACAGTGCCTAAAAGGAAAATAAAAGTGAGAGAGACTGAGTCAGAGACAGAAAGAGATAGAGAGAAGAAGAAGAAGAGAGAGAGAGAAAAAAGTGCTATAGAGGTGGGGGGAGGGACAAGGTCTGCAGACAGTAGAGAAATTGGGGACATTGGTGGTAGGAAATGAATACTGGTGAAGGTTTTGGAACGTTGTATGACTAAGACTCCATCATGAACCATTTTGTAGCTGTAAATCTCATGGCGATTCAATTAAAAAATAATAAACAAATGGGATTATTAAAGAAAGAAGATGAAGAGAGAAGTGGTTCCTCATCTGTGATATTTTGAAGCTCAGATCAAAGTTTGGATTCTCAGAACAGTCCAGTCACTGGGTTTTGGTAAATGAGATCCATCCAGGCCTGTAGAAGCACCGGCTGATTCTGGGGCAGTGCTGATTTGGATAGATTTTCTCCCAGGTGTCAAGGTGAATAGGTTCTAACATGTACCCTGCCATCTGTTACCAACAGTTCACTTAGTCTTTGGGGTTTTAGTTCCTAAAATTGTATGGCTGTGAAAATACAGCCACCAATCATCAGCTTGGCTTTTGTTTTTACTCTGACTTCCAAATTCTAACATTTAAGCTGAAATTTTAATTCTCCCAGTTCCAGTTATTCATATGCAGCTCATCAGTTGAGTGTAGTCTGTTTAGAGCAGAGAGGTGGGGATATGGTATCATTTTTTGTTAAATGAAATACCAGTAAGTGAAAATATCACTGCTGGAAAGAGAACTTGAGTAATGTCAAATTCTTGTTTTTAATCTGCAAAAAATGTTGGTCATAATCCAGTTTTCCTATGTTTAATTAGGTTGGTTAATGTAAGTACAGACTGTAAATGTTCTCGAGAACACATTTATTAAATTTGAATACTTTGCATCATTACATGATTATTTTGATGTTAGTAGCATTACGTAAAAATAAATTTTCAATGAAGGAAAACATTTTCTGGTGAAGATGAATGTGTGGGAGCCCAGACAACTGCGAACAAGCAAATACCAAGCAGAAGTGTGTATGGATTCCAGACAAAATGTTATTTAGTGCACTTGCTCCTTCCTGTCTTCACAGAAAGTTAAAGTAATAATAGATGATGAATTAAAGTTACTGAAGACAATTCCCAGCTCAATGAACCTAATGTCTTTGATTTCTTTCCACAGTCTTCATGAATGCAGCCATTCCCATTGCAGCCGTTCTTGCCGTAAGATGCCCTTTCTTGCTTTTACTAATGGAACTAAGTCATGTTTAGAAAAACTTGTGAGCCAGATTGTGTGAGTGGGTGGTCGATAGCAGCATTCTTCATCCTTTGTACATCTGAGGACCGACACTTATAGCCACTGTGGTCGACGCTGGTTTTTAACTTTTCTACATCTGCATCTCCTGGAGATCCTGGTCCCTCCCAGGGGTCCCTCCCAGGGGCCTGAGACTCACAGCCTAAGAGGCCAGAGCAATGCTGTGTGTCCCCCGGGGCCCCTGAGGCCCCAACTGAAGCCACTTGGCTGGGCCCATCCTGAATGGCAAGATCCGGGGAGCAATTTCTGCTTCAAGGTGGCTGGATGCACCTCCAGGTCCCCTTCCCTGCACCCCTAAAGGGAAACTCTAGACCCAAGTTCCCTTGCACCCCCACTCCAGTGCAAGGGGAATGGGCCAGCCCACACCCCCAACTTCCTCAGGCCTGCCCACCCCACACCCACCTTCCACTTGTTGCCTTGCCTTGGGGCTCTTTGCTTGATCTTTTTAATTTTAATTTTGTTGCGATAGCAGGGTTAGAGCGATAGCACAGTGTTAGGGCGTTTGTTTGCCTTTCACATGGCCGGCTCGGTTGACCCGGGTTCAATTCTTCTGCCCCTCTCGGAGAGCCCGGCAAGCTACCTGAGAGTATCTTGCCCACATGGCAAAGCCTGGCAAGCTACCCGTGATGTATTTGATATGCCAAACACAGTAACAACAAGTCTCACAATGGAGACGTTACTGGGCCCGCTCGAGCAAATTGATGAACAACGGGAGGACAGTGCTACAGTGCTACATCTGCAAACCGCCAGGGTAATGGGTAATAAAGACCAGTAGTCTTTGTTACCCATTTTTTTTGCCAGTTATCTCTTTATTGCCTCCACTGCAATAACTTTAATCCAGCATTTTTCCAACCATGGTTGCTGTGGATTTTTCATCCCAGAACGCTTTTATGTAGGGACTTATGCTTTGGGTTATGGTATTTAATAGCTTCTCTAAATTTTCTTTACTAGAGCTCAATGAGAAACACCTAATCATGACTGTTAAAAATATCCCCAGGGCCAGGGAGAATAGCTCAAAGATCGGCAAAGAGTGTTTTGCATGTAGGCGGCTCCGGGTTTGACCCCTCACATTACTTGACCTCCTGAGCTCTGCCAGGAACAACTCCTGAGCACTGAGCTGGGAGTAACCCCCCAAACACTGTCAGTTGTGCACCCCCAACAACAACAACAACAACAAAACAATACCCCAGTTTTTGTCAGATAGGTCGCGGGAGCAAATTGATAACATTTGAGAACTAACCAGGTCTGCTTCCCAGGACACAGCATGTACGGGACTTTTAGAAACGTTTGGGTAAGAGAGTGACAGAGATGGAGCCATCTAGAACAATTCTGAGGGTGCCTAGTGGATGGTGGGAACGAGAAAGTTTCCAAGAGGCTTACCAAGTTGGAAACGGAAGCTAGGAAATCTCCACAGGGCTTTGTGAATTGAGAAGGTGCCTGAGAATCCCCGAGGCTGTGCGGGCAGGGTGGCAGACCAGGAGTGATTTGGGGGAGCATCAATAAGAGCCACAGTGAGCCCAGGAGAGTAGTTGGCACTCTGAATTCTCTGCTAGGCATGGAAAGAGTCTGCCTTTGGATACCATGCTGGCAGCTTTGTAAGGATTCTCCCCATGGGAACCCACGTTTCCTGCCGAGGCAACATAGGCACCGTGGCACCCTTGGATGAAGAGCAAAGTCCTTTTCAGGAGTGACTGGGGTGAGCGGCTGTCCCTAGTGAAGGCGCATCAATAGCCTCACAGTGCTTGTCAGCTGTGTCAAACTCAGCGTCAGCCTTATGAAGGGACTCAGGCAGTTCTCTGAAGAAGCCCCGTCTCCACAGACGTTCGTGACTCACGCCTATGCCAGCGGGAACAATCTGAAGCCTGCGGAGGCCTTTGCGTCGCTGTCGCTCTTCCACATCCTGGTCACGCCGCTGTTCCTGCTGTCCACTGTGGTCAGGTTCGCCGTCAAAGCCATCATAAGGTAAGCGCGGCTGGTCCTGACGCTCCGCTGCTTGAGTAACAGAATGCGTAAGCTCTTGGAGTATTGCACCCCCCCCACACACACACACATACACACTCACTCACACACACACACACACACACACACAGACACACTATTTCGACACTGTGGTTTACAGAGTTGTTCGTGATGATTCGTTACAGGCATTCGATATTCCTTCACCAATCTCTTCACCACTGTCACCTTCCCTCTATCATTGTCTCCAATTTTCCAACCCTCACCCCCTCAAATCTGCCACCAGAGCAAGCCCACAGTAATTTATTTTTCATTGCTTGTTACCAGTAAATGGCTAATGGAATGAACAAAACAGACTTCAGTAAAGGAAACAACACTGCACAAACACTGTCCTCCCGTTGTTCATCGATTTGCTCGAGCGGGCCCAGTAACATCTCCATATTTTTGAGACTTCTTGTTACTGTGTTTGGCATAGCGAATACGTCACAGGTAGCTTGCCAGGCTTTGCCATGTGAGCGAAATACTCTCGGTAGCTTGCCGGGCTCTTGGAGAGGGGCAGAGGAATCGAACCCGGCTCTGCCGGTCTGGCTGCGCGCAACGCAAATGCTCTACTGCTGTGCTATCACTCCATCAGTAAAGGAAAATTTGTGAAAATTGTTGGATCTCACCACGGGGACTTGCCAAGTTCTTGTCTGAGGGTTTACTAAGCTGTCACTGAAGGTTGCAAGCCTTCGCGTTAATGTTTTTGTTAGTGGAGATTGGTTGCCTTCTGTGCTGCATGCCATCCAATCTGGTGTGCTTCTACTGGGATGTTAGCGTTGAGATGCTGGAAGATGTTGTACACCACAAACGAGAATGCAGGAGTGTGTTCCAGAAAATCCACAAGATTTAACTGGGTAGTCCAGCCGAGGAATGGCGGCAGCTCTTGGGCTGTGAACGCAGCTGCCAGGGAGTTGGTAGGGCAGGAGATTGGTCCGACCCCCTCCCTAAGGTCGTCCCAGAGGTCAAGATGAGAGGAAATTTTAAAAAGCACCCAAAAAACATATTGAAATCATTTACAATTTTTATGTGCTGATTTTCAGTTGCTAGTTTTATAGGTAAGTTACTATTCTAAGAACAAACTTTTGAGCTTATGTAGCTTTGACTCCTTTTTTCCCTTATCCTTTATTAATATCTATACCCCTCTTGTTGTGGGCTGATCTGTAGAAATTTATTGTCTGGAAAGACCCAATTTAATGATGATTTTTTGTTTGTTTGTTTGTTTTTTGGGTCAGACCCGGTGATACACAGGGGTTACTCCTGGCTCTGCACTCAGGAATTACTCCTGGGGGTGCTCAGGGAACCATATGGAATGCTGGGAATTGAACCTGGGTCAACCGCGTGCAAGGCAGACACCCTACCCACTGTGCTATCACTCCAGCCCCTAATGATGACTATTTTTGACATTTGAATGCTTTTTTGTTTTCTCCTATTTGAGTCCTATAAGCAACATCAATGTAAACATCTTTGCTTGTCTTTAAGCTTTTCTCCTGATTTTTATATCAAATGTCCAGAAGTGAGAATTCTAGTTTAATAAAATGTAAATGTTGAAGGTCCTTGATGAATATGGTTTTCCACTGAAGGAATTGTGGATCAGAAAGTATATATTTTGTTTATTTGTTTAGAATAGTCAACCCCTGGGGAACTGGGGATTGTAGGAAGGCATTCCCAGAGATGATAGTTCAGTACTTGGGTCTGTTGATGAGGTGTTCTTGGGCCCAGTATCACTGGAGGTTGCTAGAACTCCTACCCGGAGTGTTGGGGGTGGTGTGTGTATTGGGAATTGAACTCAGAACTTTGCACTGACGGGGTTTGTGCTTTATGACTCAGCATCCCCTCCCGTCCAGAAGTTGCAAATGCTTCACATTATTTTTTATGATTATGGCCACTGTCACTGTCACTGTCCTCCCGTTTTTTGTTACTGTGTTTGGCATATTGAATATGTCACGGGGAGCTTGCCAGGCTCTGCCGTGCGGGCGAGACACTCTCGGTAGCTTGCCGGGCTCTCTGAGAGGGGCGGAGGAATTGAACTCGGGTCGGCCATGTTGGCTGCGTGCAAGGCAAATGCCCTACCACTGTGCTATCGCTCCAGCTCCAGCCCCAATTATGGCCACATTATCTATCAAAGCGATGCCACTTTCTATCTGTACCCATGTTCACATCAATAAACATTTACTTTTAAATTTTAGGGTAATCTGGTAAAAATAAAAATTCATGCCCATTGTCTTTGCAAATGGAAAAACTTTGTAAAAGCTCACCCATTCTTTTTTTCCATTGTAAGTGAGCTTTTTTTTGTATTTCTAATCAGCCTTAGTTTCCCCATAATATAAAATTAGAAAAATAGGTGTAATATGATGATGATGACCAGTTTCCATCCATTTTTATTCCTATGGAATAAATACGATAGCAAGCTACATGTGCCACATTACATTTACCAAGAATTGGTCTTTTGTCGCTTTGACCTTATTACAATCAAGGCAGAGTAGAGCTTTGCTGTGGACTATTATAAACCTTATAAGACCTCAGCAGATTTTATATTCAGCCACTGTTATATTTATATGTGGACTTTGAAAATAATGCCAAGATGTTGAGATGGGAGATTGTAAGAAACGCAGACACCATAAATCATTGCTGTTAAACTGACTCCCTAACTATGTGAAACACTGTGTTGCCTGTGGCAACAATGTAACCTGTCACTTGTAAAGGCTCTCACAAGGAGGATGATTTCTTCAGTGTTTCTTCAGTCCCTGAGAAAGCTAGTCTGTCCCAGAGAAAGTGCAGACTCCCTAGCAGTAGTTTGTAATGGCTTAGCCATGGCTAAGGGCCAGGGCCCAGGGCTGGGTGAGAGGCAGAGTTTCTCTCTTGTAAGCATAAGACCAATGAGTATGTGGATTTGAATCCCTCAGGAACCCCATGCAATCTCAGCAGTTCTGCCTTTAAGGAACCCTGGTGTTCCTGAGATGCCCACAAAGTCTAGCATCTCTGGCACACCACAACAGAGAGTGTGTGTGCCTACGACCAAGTGTTTGCACCCTAGTAAGCTCTGCAATCAGAAATCCGTGCAAGCACCACATCTAAAATATGTGAGGGCCGGAGTGATAGTACAGCAAGTAGGGCGTTTACCTTGCACGCGGCTGACCAGGGTTCAATCCCCGGCATCCCCATAGGGTCCCCCAAGCACAGCTGGGAGTAATTCCTGAGTGCAGAACCAGGAGTAACCCCTGAACATTGCCACTGGGTGTGACTCAAAAAGCAAAAATAAAATAAAATAAAATAAAATAAAATATATGACCCTCTGAGAGCATCACAATCAAGTGTGTGTGCGCGCACGCATATGCATGCATATGCACACACAAAATCAATACAGCAAAGGGAAGGGAAGGATAAGCACACAACACACACACACATACACACACACATACCATGCCTTAAACAAAAACAACACTAAAATGCACATACATGACCCTATGGTACTTTCGGATTGTCACAATGGTACCAGCTGTCAAGTGATTTCCATCTTGCTCCCTAAATTGTGCCCCCAGTAAGTCACTTTGGAATAATTAGAGCTCCAAGGTCGGGGCCAAGTCCTCGTCTCTCTTTTCTCCGTATTGTTCTGTCTCTGAACCTCTCGTCCAGACCGTGGGCTGAGTTTTGTAGCACCACTTCCAAATTAGGCCGTGTTCTGGAAGGGAAGCCACTCCAAACAATAAAATTGATAAATGGCCAAACCCGGCTATTTTGGTCTTTATTTTCATTTGCTTCATTTACTAGCTGTCCCTCTCATGGCTGCACTATTAATTAGAATTTAACTTTGGGTTCCAAGGGGAGACAGAAAGCAATTGACAACTTAATCAAGGATAATTCCGAAATTACCGAGCATCCAAAACACTTGAGGAGTTGATTTAAAGAATAAATCAAAACTCACCGCTCAGGGGTGTCCCAAGTCCATGGTAAAGCAATGCAGCTGTAGTGAATCCTAGGAAAGAGTGTGTGTGTGTGTGTGTATGTGTGTGTGTGTGTGTGTGTGTGTGTGTGTGTGTTGGTGGGGGAATGGGGGAGGAATCTCTGTGTATATCTGTCCTTCCCACTGCCTCTATGCTTGTCCAGGGAACCTGCACTTGCCTGTCTGATAGAGACCAGTCTTTTTCCAGGGCTGGGCTCCAGAGTTCCCAAACAGAACGGACTGATAAATACATCCTTCTCTAAAGAGAGTTGCAGTAGCTGATTTCTGGATCCCGCCGTGATGGCTGGTCAACAGAGGTAGCGGGACCTTTCCACACCATGTACTGGTCCCGGGAAGCCCAATGAGTGTTGTCCACTGATGACTGGGCTTGTTGGCGCTCTCCTCTCTCCCTGGGAACCTGTGATTAGTCTTGGATGCCAGTTGGCGCACACCAAGCTGAGCAGCTTGTTTGTAACCAGAGACTTCGGTCAGCTGAGGATGATACCTCCTCCTTGGGACTCTGGAGTCAGAAGTTTTATTGTTTTTTTTTTTCCAGGGTGCCTTTCAGTGAGTTGAGAAACTTGGGTTAGAATGGGAGGCACACAGTGTGGACTCTCTGTGCACATAAGAGACGTAAGCCCTAATGTAGAGAAACCCATGCCTTGTAAATTCCTCTGCTGTAGTAAAATCCTTTAGAAGTACAGCTTAGTTTACTGACCAAAATGGTCTTGGCAGTTCATGGTGTAGGGTGCATGGACCTAATAAAATGGGAGAAATAAGCTAGTCCCAGGTTTTCTCCTCTCACCAGTGGGAGATTTGCAGTATTTGATTCTGATGTACACTAGTCTGCATTTGCAAAAGAAGGAGAAATACCATTCCTTAAAATAGTCCAATACTTGAATAAGAGAGGTTTTTGAGGAGACCTGCCTTGGTCTTTCACTTTGCTTTATCTCTAAGGAAATCATTACATGTTTTATTTTACTGGAGTGAAATGTAAGTTGGTATGTTGTATACTTTATAAATAATTGGAATAGGGGTTTCTGGTATTTGATATACTATGTGGTATCTCTGTCCAAAGATGTTATTTGCCAACGGGAAAAAATGGAAATATGAACCCCTTATTTTCTTGGAATATAACTTGGTGTCTGTTCTTTCTAGTACCTCCCAAAGGAATGCTGGGCTAGTTGACTATGATTAATATTAATCAAATAGGCAGAGTTATTTATTATAGTGTATATTTATTCTTTGTCCTGGTCCCTGTTGACAAAGATGTCCTATTTCCTTTTAGAAAATGATGTAGCACTGTAGCACTGTCCTCCCATTGTTCATCGATTAGTTGGAGTGGGCCCAGTAATGTCTCCATTGTGAGACTTATTGTTACTGTGTTTGGCATATCGAATACATCACGGGGAGCATGCCAGGCTTTGCTGTGTGGATGAGATAGTCTCGGTAGCTTGCTGGGCTCTCGAGAGGGGCGGAGGAATCAAACTCCGGTTGGCCAAGTCAGCTGCATGCAAGGCAAACACCCTACTGCTGTACTATCGTTCAAGCCCCAACAAAATCAGTTATTCTCAGTTATTGTAGAACCTCTCAATCTGTCTCTAAATCCCCAAATTGGAACCTGAAAAATGTAAAATTAACACATACAACTGAATCCCTAGATATTTTTGTGAATCATCTAAACAAATCAAAAGTTAGTAAAATACTGACCTTGGCAGGTGTCGGTGGCAATGCAGAAAATTGGGTGCTGGCAACACTACTGCTTTCAAATCCCAGCTCTGGTGCAGAACATTCCCTGTTTAACTCCAAGCCTGTGACATACTGTCTCTGTATCTCAGCCTCTTGTCACGTGAGCTCAATAATAGTCCTGTTGTGCTCCTTGAATTAAATAAGTTAAAATGGAAACACAGGGGGTGATGCCTTCATAAACTCTCAAGGAACAGGGAGCACTTGTCCAGCTTAAGGATTGTCTCATGAACAGGTTGGTATTTTTGTACTATTCACCTCGGCCCATGCCAGAAGTCCCTTTGCCCTTGGTCAGGGTCCATGCATTCCCCATAATTGTCCTGCCTCTGTGATTCTGAGAGGACCTCGTAGGCACAGGAAATGCTATTTTGCTTATCTATGTGTTCATTCACTGACATTTCTTGAGAATTGACTGGGTTATATTTTGGCATTGGCCTGGGATCTGATGAAAGTGAAAACCTTTGCTTTTAAGGATTTCACAATCCAATGGAAAGAGAGAGTGAAAAACAATGACAGTAGAGCAGTCAGGGACCAGAGAGCCCAGAGAGCCCGAGTTTTGGGGACAGTGATGCTTTGGTAGAAGAGTGGTTAGCATTGTTGCCTCCCAGCATCCTGGGGACAGGAGAGGGGACAGGAAGAGGGTGGGCTCACAGACGGGAAGTGTGAAGGAGTGGCCTGATGCACATTCCAAGTGGGATATTGTGAAGAGGAAAGTTCTCCCCATGTTCCAGTCAAGCTCAGTTCCAATCAACACTCTATCACCTCACTGTGTTCAACCCGAAGGGAGCTCTCCCTGGTTCTGTAAGACTGTGAGTGATATGTGTGTCTCTGTGTGTGCGAATGTGAAAGGAATATTCAGTTGACTGTTAATGTCTGAACTGCTGCTTTCTTCCTCCTTCGGTTCTTCAGGGAGCATTCTTGGAGTTATGTGTCAGGAGGCTCGAGAGAGAGTCTCATGGGAACACAGATTTTGTGTGTAAAGACACAGGAGAAATTGTTTTACGGGAGTTCTTGGTTGACAAAGCTTCCAGTCTTTTCAAACTGTAAGAACCAAAAGGTTATTGAACACTGTAAAAGCAAAGGAACAGTAATGGCCATGCAGGGGCATAACATGGTACTTCATACAGCCTTTCTAAAGCTAGAGTCTTCCGAGTTCGTGTGATGGATCAGCCGTGTTGATAGAGACTCAAAGTACACAAACCAAAGCTCTAGTGACTCAACTCTATTAAAGAGAAGCGACAGGAGTCTCAGAACCATAGTGTGGGCACTATGGAAAACAGTCAAAAATTAAATTTAGGGTTTCTGTAGGATCCACCATCTCTTCATGCTGCATGTATATACTCCCAAGAATCACAGGCGAGTGCCACAATGCAGTGCTTGCTCCACAACCGCCAAACAACTCAAGGGTCTGTCAGTAGAGGAATAACCAAAATGTGACATGCACACCACAGGGAATCATTCGGGCAAAACTTTTCATAAAGGATGATCTCTTAGTGTTTTCAGACCGGCAGTTTGCAAGCTAATAGTTTCTCTCCCTAGTGGGTTTTTAATCTACCTTTGTCTGAATTCATGTTTGTATTTTGTATTACAAAATTACATGCTTGGAACTCATCTGAATCTCTGTCTGTGTTTGCTCCCTGCCCCTCTGCAGTGTTCAAAAGCTGAATGAGTTTCTCTTGAGCGATGAGATTGGCGAGGACAGCTGGCGAGCTGGGGAAGGTGCGCTTCCTTTTGAGTCCTGTAAGAAACACACCGGCATTGTAAGTCCTTCTCCTTGTTCTAGAAGCTTCGAGGTGTGAGGGCTATCCAGACAGTACATCAGTTAGAATGGAGACACTTAGGGAAACTAAGCTTTAGTGAAGAAAAGTTGACAAGAACATTTAGGACAAGTCTTAAAACTCTAAAACTCAGGAAACAACGGGTAAGGCTTAGTTTGAGAAATCCACAAGGAATTCCTTCTAGAAGGATGGCGCATGTTAATTCAAAGGGAAGAATTCTCTACTGCAAACTTTATATAAAATAATACATGACAGGCCCAGGGGGATAGCTCAAGAAGCTGAGTGAATGTTTTGCATGAAGGCATGTGGAGGGGGGGAAGGGTTTGATCCCCAGCATTATGTGATTCCCTGAGCACAACCCCTGAGCACCTCTGGGGTGACCCTCAAAATAAAAATAAATAATCAAATATATTTATTTGACCTCTAAGGGCAGAGCCTGGCAAGCTACCCGTGACGTATTCAATATGCCAAACACAGTAACAACAAAGTCTCCAATGGAGACATTACTGGGCCCGCTCGAGCAAATCGATGAACAACGGGAAGACAGTGACAGTGATAGTGACCTCTAAGAAATGATAGTGGTTAGAGTGACACTTCGCTGCTATTTGGTGTGGGTATGAGAAAGTATTCGATAGCACAATGGGTAGGGTGTTTGCCTTGCATGTGGCTACCGGGCAGACCTGAGTTTGATTCCTCCACCTTCGATTCCTCTACCCTTCCCAGAGAGCCTGGCAAGCTACCAAGAGTATCTTGCCCGACTGGCAAAGCCTGGCAAGCTGCCCGTGACATATTCTATATGCCAAACACAGGAGCAACAAGTCTCACAATGTTACTGGGCCCGTTCGAACAAATCAATGAACAACAGGAGGACAGTGACAGTGACCGTATATTACTGACATGTTTTAGGTTAAGCAAATAAAGACTTGCTGAAAGATTGAATGGGAGAAGAGCAGAACTGGATGAGTTCTAAGTTACTGGTTTGACTTCGAGGTGAATGGTGAATCCACTTAACTGAAATAGAGTAACTTAGTTGATATTGGGGTGGAACCAAAAGATATTTTGCAGTTGATAATTTTAAGATTTTGGTTGACATCCTAGAAGAAGAGCCAACATTGGATAGATAAATGTAATGGTCATTAAATATTTAAATCAACAAGATTGGGCTATACAATTTTACTTAAAGGGATATCTGGCAAATTCTAAAGAAAATCCTGGAAAGTGAATATTTATATATTTCATAAATATAAAGTAGGAATACATTATTTTAAAGTGAATGATGTTTAAATTATTATTATTAATGTTACTGTTAGAGAAACATTTATTTCTCCAATAACTATTTACTATTCATGCAAACAAACAAAAGTGCACCTGCAACACCCTGATTGGAATTGATTGAGACCTTTACCAGAAAGTTAGTCTAAATTAAATGTTTGCCGCATCTGGTTTAAAGCTACTAGAAATAGATAGGACCTGAACTCTATATTTACATTTTTTGGTTTCTTCTGCTTTTCTGGATTTATGTTTCTTTCTTTTATAAAATTTTCTGTTAAGTTGGGTTACTGACCAGGTGTGGATTTTAAGAAGGAGCCCATGTTAATATATGCTGAAGCCATCATGGCTCACAATATTTAATTGCTATTGTGTAGACCTGGATGCAAAGACCAGAACATGTGGTAGAGCCAACAGGTAGACTGGAAACAGTCTTGTCACATTTTGGGTGACGGGGATTACCAAGGAAGTCAGGGTCACCTTTCAGAGCTGAGCGGATGAGCTCATTTCAGGAAATGCTATAGGAGCTGAAATAGATAGAAGTAAGGGAATCTGAAGGATATTTTGTGTGAGGTGACAGACAGGAGAACTACTAAATTTCTCGAATACTAAATTGAGAAAATGGTCTGGAGCAGCAGAAAGAACCCCCTTAGGAGGCATCCATTATATTTAGTGGTATTGAAACCAGACTGAACTTTGATGCATTTGGAGTCATTTGTCCCTGTGATGGACCAAACCACAAATGACCAATTTCAAAAGCTGGAGTGAAAGAAGTCCCGTGATTGAGAAGAACTCTAATAGGCAAGTCGTTCTTGAGAGTGTTTAAGATACTGCATGTTCTCTCAGAGTACATATACACGTGGTCTTGGCTGTAGTCTCTCCGAGGAGTTTTAGCAACATGCTAGAGCCAAAGTCTTTTCAGATTCTATCTGTGAATCTCCAGCCCTGTCAACACTTCTTCTCCCTCCCTCTCCTGAGTTGGGTGAAGAATATTAGGTCATGTCTCTGGACCTCTCTGGGGCTAGAAGACTTAACTGATGTGTAGGTGTGGACCTGTCTTGTGTGGAAAAAATAATCAGCGTGACAGGCTGTGACTTTCTACAAGATTTCAAGCAAAATACTTTTAGGGTCATCAGGGAGGCTCATGGAAAGAAAGACTAAAACTAAGTTGAAATTCTGCAGTACTTTTTTTCAAAGGGAAAATGCGTTATTTTCTAGGTGACAGAACCCCTGCTTGCTAGCTCTCCTCAGTAGCTTCTGGTCCTGTACATTTATTTCCACTGAGCACAGCAAAACGTTATTTAGCAACCTGAGGTTCTGTGGCTGCAGGGTAGATGCCAAGTAGAAATGGGATCTCTCCTTTTGTGTTGAGTTACCGATGATTCACAGACTTACCCGATTTCCTAGCGTTAAAACTCACTGGGTTTTTAAAAGCCAAACCTGGAATTCCAGTCTGAAAACCACTTCACAAGTCTAGAATCCTGTGCTTTTATAGTTATCTGTTTCCAAGCATATTACTATCTAGCTTGTATAATCTTTTTTATTAGGTCATTTCTGATTTATTGTTGTTTTTCCTTATTCACACGGTGACGAACATTTTTTTTTAAATTTTTTTTTAATAGTGAATCACCCTGAGGTACAGTTACATATGTAGAAACTTTCATGTTTGCATTTTAGTCATACAATAATCGAGTACCCATCCCTCCACCAGTGCCCATTCTCCACCACCAATGTTCCCAGTATTCCTCCCACCACCCTCACCCCATCCCCTCCACCCCGCCTCTGTGGCAGGGCATTCCCTTTTGTTCTCTCTCTCCTTTTGGGTGTTGTGGTTTGCAATAGAGTCATTGAGTTAACCTGCATAATCTTAAATAAGATTGATCACTCTCTATGCTGATATTATTTACATGTGTACTATAGTCACAGGACAAATTTTGAGCTTACGTGCTTTTTTTCAAATTAGAGATTTGCACAACTGAATTTTCCACCTTTGGTCATTTCTATTTATGTGAACATCAATGAAAAATCAGACAATGCCAAATTGCCTGGATTTATGTCTGGATTTATGTTATACCTATGACCTACCAAGTTTGCTTTATGTTCGTGGAGACTGGAGAGATAAGATTGGCAGCTAGCCTCATCTCTCCAACTGAGATGGGCAGGTGGGGAAATCCGGTCTATGGGCCCTATAAGGCCAATGAAACCATGTGGTCTGTTCCCAGTCTATGTTGGGACAGACATGCATGCTTCTCATCAACTGCCCACAGCCCTGTTACATGACCCATGGATGATGTTATTAATATCCGAATGGCCCTGGACATAAAAGAACTTCCCTCCTCCTCTTAGTCCTATGACTCAAAACAGTACCCTAATGTTTGACACAAAGAACAGTTGGATACCCTCCTGTAGGATAACACTCTTTTGTCCTTCCTCAGGTAGCTTAGGTTTGTCAGGTCACACCCATCTAAGAACACTGAACTTGTATTGTAAGCAATGTCCTTTCTGTGTGGACACAGGAAGACAGTTAATATTATGCTTTGTAACTTGGGAGTTGATTGACTCCGAATAATATTTACTCCTGGGCATCTGATTTCTTGACTCAGTTGCCCTTAGTTCCTTGCACCCCAAAAGCAGGGTCCCAACGAGGGACTGAATGGACCCAGGGAAATCAGTGAGCTACCCTGGCATCGACATGGGCCAGGCCAAAGGGTCACGATACTCAACTATAAGTTGAGGGCATGATCATGGACAAATGCTGTCATGATCCAAAAGTAAGTAATGACGAGACTAGGACCCTGCTGGAGCTAGGAAGATTAACCTGGCCTGAGGACTGTGGAATGTATAGTGAGATGTTCTCAGGAAGAACCAAACTAAATTTATATCTCTTACTGTGCTCATACAGAATGACATTGCTAGAAATAATAGAAGTAGATTTATTACAACTATTTAAGTAGATTACTAACTGAGGGAAGAACACACCCTTGTTGGGATCCCATCCTTGGGCGGATCTCCTAGTAATCTGAAGTAATCTCTGTAGATAAGATTTTATCCTTGAGTTAATCTCTTGGAGGAGTGGTCTTACCTCTCTTTGTTGATTGTCAGTATTCAACCCACCTTTATGTCACCGCCTTATGTGACTGCTATATAAACTAAGATGTAAGCTTGGAGAGAGGAGTCAGAAGCGGTAAGCTTGGAGAGAGGAAGAGTCAGAAGCGAGAGAGCTCGGGCTCCAGAGATCCAGAGTCAGAGCCAGAAGGAGAGAGCTTCCAAGACTGGGGCCCAGGAGAGAAGGAGGCAGAGAAAGACAGGAGTGAAGAGGATTGGAATAAACTACTATTGATATAGACCGGCCAGGCCCCCGTTTCTTCTTCCATCTGCCCTTGGCCAACAGCCGTTCCGATCCAGGCCACACACAGCGGCTCAAGAGCACCGAACGCAGGGCGGTGAGACAGTGCCGTCCAGTGAGCCCGTGAACACACAACCTTTGGCGTGATAAGATTTTACACCCTCCTTGTGAAATAATGTATATATTTGAAAAAAATCCCTAGATTTTTGTGGGTTTTTTTCCCTATTCTACAATGGCTGCCTGGGTATTGTTTATGATTTCTCTGATTTCTGCAACTATCTGAAATTCAAAGAGCTCAGGATCCTAAGGGTGATGAGAACTGTCGAGGGAACCTTCACAAAGTCCAGCAGCCTCACAACTAGGTCAAGCTGAACTTGTGCTAATCACTCGCCTTTTACTTAATTTTCTATTCCCTGACTCAAGGTATATCCAAGTTCATATTGATTTCCGTCGTTTGCAAAATGAAAATCTTCACATTTTCATTTTTCTTAAGAGCCTTGTGGGGGCCGGAGCGATAGCACAGCGGGTAGGGCGTTTGTCTTGCACGCGGCCGACCTGGGTTCAATTCCCAGCATCCCATATGGTCCCCTGAGCACCGCCAGGAGTAACTCCTGAGTGCATGAGCCAGGAGTAACCCCTGTGCATCGCCACGTGTGACCCAAAAAGCAAAAAAAAAAAAAAAAAAAAAACCAATCTAGGGGGCTGGAGCGATAGCACAGCGGATAGGGCGTTTGCCTTGTACGAGGCCAATGGGGGTTCAATTCCCAGCATCCCATATGGTCCCCCAAGCACCGCCAGGAGTAATTCCTGAGTGCAGAGCCAGGAATAACCCCTGAGCATCATTGGGTGTGACCCAAAAAGCAAAAAAAAAAAAAAAAAAAAAAAAGAGCCTTGTGAATTTGCTTGAAAATTAAAGCATCATACTTTATTATCTTTTTTTTTGCGGGGGAAGGGAGGGAGGCATTGGAATAATTTAAATAGGACCTACCCTGCTTCCTTTTCATTGGGATGTAAGTGAAGTAGCAACATGAGTTTACTGTCTGGTAAAGCCTCTCTTTCCCATGAAGTGTTAACTTGTGTCTGCTCTCTGTTTGGAACGCAGCAATCGAAAACCATCAACAGGAAGCAGCCTGGGCGATACCACCTGGACAGCTATGAGCAGTCCACCCGTCGTCTGCGTCCTCTGGAGACAGAGGACATTGCAATCAAGGTGATAGTTCATGGACAGAAACATCTTATCTCATTGGGGGAGGGGGTTCTGCAAACGTGTCCTAAATTGTGTCCGTTATAGCGATCTCTGCTTGTAACACTTCACCATAGTTTTTGGAGGAGCTTTTAATTCTCGTAATTCTCAGCTTTTCCTCACTCATGACACTGGTGTTGACCTCGAAAGGGTTTTTGGGTTTTTTTTTTTTTTTAAGTTTTTGGGCCACATTCGATGGTATTCAAGGCTGTACTCCTATCTTTGTGCTCAGGGATGTTTAAAGATCATTCCTGGTGGGGCTCAGGGAACAATATGCGGTGCCAGGGATTGAACTCAGGTGAGTTTCGTGCCAGGCAAACATTTTACTCATAGTACTTACTATCTCTCCGGCCTCAAATAGATATTAATATTATTTGCCACTTCTGGCAGTGTTCAGAGAACCATGCAGTGCCAGTGACCAAATTCAGGGTTCTCCAGTAGCATGTCCTAATAGCTGGAGAATGAGATGTCTTCTTTTAAAATTGACTAAGATTCTGTTATTTCCCATGCTAAGGATGGTTTCACATGCTTTGGAAGCTTCGTCAGAAGCTGCTGTCTAACAGTTTCTCTCCTTTGTTTTTTTTTTTTTTTTTGATGTTGTACTGTGACCTACAGGTCTTTTAGTGACTCTTCTATCTTGATCCACCCAATAAATTGATTTATAGAGAACAGCTAAATAATAAACCCAATTTTTAGGTAAAGATGAGGTAGGAGTTATCTTCCACCAAGAACGGGGCTAGCAGGTGCCACCCACATGCCAATAAGGACTTTGCTGTCTACTCAGGCTGTGTGCCTGGAGTACACAGGCCAGGGTGACACAGCTGGGCCTGGGGAGGACCCCAGGGACCACAGAACCGGAGCAGATGCCTGGAGTGGTTCCATGGTCCTGTGTGGATGGCAGCGGCAACTCTGCACTGTCTAGCCCAAGTGGAATTCAGGGCAGCTTGGTGGGGGCCACGGAATAGCAGAAAAGTCTCTCCCCTTGAATTCTGTCACCATTTACTGCCTGCCTCAGCATCTGTATGGAACATCTGGGCAATTGGAGCAGCTGGGTTACTACTCTGGAACTGGCCACTGTCACCTACCTCTGTCGCTCATTTGTCTTGTGACTTTTGGGCGAATTGCCGTGCCGAGCCACATTTTGCTCACCTTGAGGTGGGGTAGCTCTTTTAGTGTGGTTGATTTGGGCACGAGATTATATGTCAGCTGTCACTTTTAAAGAGTCTTCATGATCGGGGCTCTACATTCGAACCATCTGAGAGCTGAGAACCTCTTAAAAATAAGTTTGCAAGAGAGGCATTGAGTGGCAATCATAAAAGGAGAGAGAGAGAGAGATCAAAAGGGAATGCCCTGCCACAAAGGCAGGGGATGGGGGTGGGAGGGATGCTGAGACCCATGATAGTGGAAGATGGGCACTGGTGGAGGGATGGGTACTCGATCATTGTATAACTGAAACCTAAGCACAAAAATTTGTAGGTCTATAACTGTACCTCATGGTGTTTCACTAATAAAAAAAATAAGTTTGGGGGTGGGGTGGAGGGTGGGTGGGGTGGAGGGTGGGGATGAAGAATAATACAGTGGATAGGGCACTGGCCTTGCATGTGGCCAACCCAGGTTCCATCCCGTGGCACCCCATATGGTCCCACGAGCGTCTCCAGGGATGAATCCTGGGTGCAGAGCCAGGAGTAAGCCCTGAGTATGATCGGACATGGCCTAATAATAAAAATATTCTCTAGGAGATCTTTGGCTACTACATGCAGTGAGGGTGGGAGCTGGTCGGCTCTAAAAAAAAATCAGGGGAAAGAAACTAGAAAAGGTGACCTATGCTACCAGTTCTCAAATAACCCAGGTGACAGCTAGTATGGTAGCCACTAAAACAAGCAAGCCAGTTTTCTAAAGGACATTTTCTAGCAAATGTAGTAGGAATCTAAAACTACAACTTTTCTATGTGCCTTATTAGATGTATCTTGGCTTTGAATGAATAAAAGGGGCAATAGGTAAGCAAGTTTCTGTCCAAACTTGCCCTGAATACAAAAAATACATCTCCAATCTTGTTCCAAAACAAATGAACTGGTTGTCAATAACAGGGATAGTTTATGCTTCGTAGAGGCCGCTGCAGCATCAGGTCCCATCTTCAAGCTCCAGTTAACTTGTTGGTCTTGGTGGTTTTGGTGGAAACTCCCAAATTGCTAATAACTCATTTGTCTCTTTGAAACTTTCTTTTATTATCACGTGTGATATGTTCATAGAAAAATATGTAGAGGATAAAGTCCCATTATATGAAAGAATGGAAAAAGTAGGCAACATCCCCAAGAACATTGCCAGCACCTCTGACTCCCCAAACCCACCTTAAGTTCTCTGTTTCATCACTCCCTGAGATATAATCACCATCCTGACTTTTAGTATCATTTGTTTATCATCTTTGCTGGACATGCTCCTTTTACATGCATTTCACTTACTTTAATGTTCACGTATGTGTGTTTCTTCAGCTCAAGATTATGTCTGTAGAGTTCATCCCCGCTGCTGTGTGAAGCTGTAATTCTTTTCATTGCTCTGTAAGGTTTCAGGGAATGAACAAATTGGCATTTATTTATCCAGAAATTTTTTTTATTGTTTTGCTCTCTGGGGTTCTTGTGATCATTTAATGATTCTGTGGATCCATATAATGTTTGTAGATCCCCACCTGCCTATTTATTGGCAAAGCATTTTCCACATGTGGCTGTTTACATATCTCTTCCCTCCCCCCATGAGAAGGGGCCCACATGAGCCACATCTTCACCTGATTGACTGGAGTAGTTTATCCCAGTGTTGCAGATCACAGGGACTTGTGGGAAGACCTCTGTGCCTTTTTCTCGTTTTTCATTTTTCTGGTTGCCAGTGGAACTGGCCACGTTTTCACCACATATTGATCACTTGAACTTCCTCTTTTGTGAACCGTCTGTTTTTTTATTATTACTTTTTAAATTTTTATTAGTGAAACACCATGAGGTACAGTTGTAGACTTACAAATTTTTGTGCTTGGGTTTCGATTATACAATGCTCAAATACCCATCCCTCCACCAGTGCCCATTTTCCATCACCATGGATCCCAGTATCCCTCCCACCCCCATCCCCCCCCCCAGACCCCCCTGCCTCTGTGGCAGGGCATTCCCTTTTGTTCTCTCTCTCCTTTTGGGTGCTGTGGTTTGCAAAAGAGGCATTGAGTGGCAATCATGTTCGGTCTATGAGAGTAGACTATAGACCGTCTGTTGTTGTTTTTTTTTTTTTTTTTTTTAGCTATCCGTTTTGTGAAGGTGAGCAGTGGGTTAGGCCACACCAGCTGTACTTAACAGCTAGTTTCTGACTGTGCTCCGGGGTCACTCCTGATGGTGTTCAGGGTTGGACCTGGGTTGGTCATATGCAATGCAGGGACCGTAAGGACCTTAAGCCCAGGACTGTCTCCCTTTTTAAACAAATTCTGGTGATTGCTACTTGGTAGATATCTATGGCACAAACCTCCTCTCCACCCTGATCATTTAACTTTTTCTCCTCCAGATTGTATTAGAAGTTTTAACTTTTAGTGTAGTCTAGTATCCTTAACTGTGCCTTTATTATTCATGTTCTATGTTTTCTCTTTAAGACCATTTTTCCTAACAGAGTTCATAAAAATCCTTTGCAGTCACTCCTAAAATCTTTGGAACTGTGCCTTTCACTTTCAGTCTTTATTCTGCCTGGAATGCACTTTGGGGTAGGCTATAATGTGGGCATGTGATTTGGTAGAGAAATCAGTAAGCAATGATTTAGTTGTAAATTTAACAGCAGAAAATTCAGTAGTGGTCATTTTTCTAATTTTTCAGTGACCTGTAGTAATTTATTTTTTACCATGATGCCCACTCACCCATGGTCCTGTAGTCACTGACCTTCAGGATAGCCCAGAGATACCTCAGAGATCTTTAGACACCTGGATTGATTACTGACCTTTATGTATTTTTCTCTCATTTATTTGTTCTACGTTCCACTGTTAAGAGTGTTATGGCTTTCTGCTAAACATTGGCATCATCTAAAATAAGTTCCTAAATTACACCTTTATTCTTTTCTTGTAAGTATGTTAGCTATTCTTGGCCTGTGGGGAGAAAGCCTTGTAGTAGTGCTTTAAAAGAAAACTTTATTGTACTTGAGATTTTTTTCAAACAACTACACACATAAGAATTTTAGAGACTGATTTATGTATTCTTATTTTCTAGGTCACAAATGGGTATTTCTCTTGGGGCAGTGGAATAGCTACATTATCCAATATAGATATTCGAATTCCAACAGGTAAGATGTGTCACTTACTTCTGTAATTGTTAATGTTCACCACTATAGATTTGCAAGATAATTGAGTCTATAAAAAAGACCTTGTGGGGCTGGAGCGATAGCACAGCAGGTAGGGCTTTTGCCTTGCACGCAGCCGACCCTGGTTCGATTCCCAGCATCCCATATGGTCCCCCGAGCACCGCCAGGAGTAATTCCTGAGTGCATGAGCCAGGGATAACCCCTGAGCATCGCCGGGTGTGACCCCCCCAAAAAAGAAAAAAAAACAAACAAAAAAGACCTTGTTGTTGTTATTTGTTTGTTTTTTGGGTCACCTCCGTTGGTGCTCAGGAGTTACTCCTGGCTCTGCCCTAAGTGCTGCACTACCACTCTGGTCCTTCTTTAAAAAAAAAAAAAAACTTTTAAAAGACATAAATATTATATCACATGAAGCTCAATAGCCTGGATGAACAGTGAGAAGTCCATTTGAACTGGTTGTAAATGAACTCGTTTTAGTCCATTTGCTGATTTATCTTATGGCAAAAATGGAAATATCTGACTTTTACTTTTATCTGAGAAAGGATTTAATGAATGCTTTTGTGAAAAACAGATTTTTTTAACTATTTTCTTTCCCAGAGGAAGAGACTGATGAAAACGTTAGTATAAATGAGACCTAAAAATGCAGTAAAGGGCTGGAGCGATAGTACAGTGGGTAGGGTGGTTTGCCTTGCATGCAGCCAACCTGAGTTCGATCCCCAGCATCCCACATGTTCCCCTGAGCACTGCCAGGAGAAATTCCCGAGTGCAAAGTCATGAGAAATCCCTGTGCATTGCTGGGTGTGACCCAAACAGCAAAATGCAAAAAAAAAAAAAAAAGGCAATAATTTTTTATTCCAAATGTCTGGGAATTTGAATGAGATTGTTTGACTTGGTCTCATGGTCAAGAGCTTGATACTTTTCCATTAGGCATGCAATTTAAAGACAAAAATTAGAGAAGCTATCTTTCAATGGTGTCTTCAGACACCATTAGGCTACACTAGCTTGCGACAGGGACGAATGGAGATGTTACTGGTGCCTGTTTGAGCAAATTGATGAGTAACAGGATGTCAAGAGATCAAGTGATCAAGTGATCTTTCTAACAGCCCAATAATTTTTTAATCACAATTACCTATTTCAGTAAAAAACTGCCTGTCAGCCTGAATGAACTTCAAATTCATTTGAACCTTATCAACCTGAATAAGGTTAAATTTATCTAGATGATGTAAGCAGTTATTTATTTCATTGCACACTTGACTGATGTCAACTGTTCCCATGGTTTGGAAAATAATAAACCAAGATCACCTGCCTATTTAAAATTGCATTCAATTGTTTCGAGTCCCTATGGTTGGAGCTCAGAGCTGGCCAGTGTGATGCATCGGACTTTTCTAAAGGTGCTCTGATTCTGTTTGCCTAAGACAAGTCTGCCTCATCCATTGCTTCATCTCTCTAGGCCAGTTAACCATGATTGTTGGCCAAGTGGGATGTGGGAAGTCCTCGCTCCTCCTGGCCATCCTCGGTGAGATGCAGACCCTGGGAGGAAAGGTCCACTGGAGCAAGTACGTGCACTTTTCATTGATCTCTGCAGCTCTTTCTTGTTTCTGTGATCTTCCAAGGGGAGGCACGAGAATAGCAGATTCCCATGTGAAGAAAAATGGCCAAGAAGTAGGTTCTACTGAAAAAAAATTGAAATAGAGCCAGACAGATAGTACAAGGGTTAAGGCGTTTGCCTTACAGGCAACCTGGTTTGATCCCTGGCACTGCATATGGTCCCCCCAGCAGGAGTTATCCCTAAACACAAGGTAAAGAGATAATCCCTGAACAAAACCAAAACAAACAAACAAACAAATTAACAAAGCTAAAATTAAAATAAGTGGGAAACTTAAATGTCATAAATTTAAAATAGCAATTTGGTTTTGGAGGTTCATCATAGGGTAAAAGGGCATTTGGCTAAGATAAGCATCAGGCTGGAATGATACAGAATTTCAACATTTGGGGTAACACCCCAAATAATAGTGAAAAATTCATCTTCTAATAAAGGAAGATATGGAAAACTCACCCTCTTTATAAAATCTGCATATAGTCTGAGTGGTTTGATATGCAGAGAAGTATCTGAGACTTATTTATAAAATGTTCACAAGGGATGGATAAGAGGTATCAGCCATTTCTCTTCACACCCAGTAAAAACAGACATTACAGTAGCTCTTTGGAGATGAGAATTGGTCAGACATGCAGGCCTGGCATCTTCGAAGACAGAGGAAAGGAAGTGCCAGGCATGGAACTTTGGGTATTTGAATGGTTGGCTTGGGGTCTTCAAAGCACACTGTGGAAATAAAATGACTGAATCATGTTACTAGTTTATAATTGTGTGATAAGGGATTGATATTTCTTTATTATTAATTATTTTGTTTGACTGACCTAGGAGATATCCCAGTTGCAGGTTCTAAGAAATTAGTTCCAGTTTTCACTGGATAGTGGTTCCCAAAGTGTGATTTTGTTCGCGGGCTCGTTGGGCAGTCTCTGGAGATATGTGATGTTGTTGCACTGTGAGAGTAGGCTGATCTTTTCTATAGGGTTGTGATGTTGTTTCTTACCCTACAATGCAACAATGCATTGGGAATCTCCCTCTTGCCCCACCACTCATGCATGCACCATGGAGTAATCTGATTTCTCATGTCAGTTGTGCCAGGATTCAGAAACTTTGCTCTAGGCCCATAAATACTCATATCATTGGATGCCCACTACAGGGAATTCTGCTGTGTGTGTGTGTGTGTGTGTGTGTGTGTGTGTGTGGCGGGGGGGGGGGGGGGCTGCTCTTTGTTCGTACAGACAAACTTCCAGAATGAGTAAAGACTAGGCATGGATAATTTTTAGAGTAGACTCATTTTAAACTCAGAGTCTCAGCTTGGGCGGGGGGTGGGGCGGGTAACATTCAAACTAGAAACGGTAGAAATATGAATCTGGTATCACTGTTGAGATAAGGAAGTCGAGGGTTATGAGGATGGAGACATTTATTCCCGAGCTACCGTAGTAGACAGTGGACATGTCTGTTACCTGAATGTCCAGCAAGGAGCTGGACATTGCTCCCTGTGCTCTTCTTCACAGAAGCTTCCTGGGGGTCACTCTGGATAAGATGACTTCCACTGTCACCATCCACCTTAGGTGTTGCTCGGTTTTGAGAAGCAGATCTTACTGGCTGACTAAATTATGTTGTGTGACAGGTATATCCCCAGTCAGACCATTTGGGTTGGGCTTCATGCTAACTCTTGTGCTGTCAGGATGGATGAGAGATGGTGACAGATAGCTTGAGAGCTTCTTTTCATTCCTTTTGGATATACTCCTGGTTTTCTCTAGTGTGGCTTTCAATGGTAAAGCCTTGCTCAACCTGGACCAGAGAGATTCATATTATTATTAATAGTCATTTCCAAAAAAACAAAAAACACTGTCCTCCCATTGTTCATTGATTTGCTCGAGCGAGCCCAGTAATGTCTCCATTTTGAAACTTGTTGTTACTGTGTTTGGCATATCGAGTACGTCACGGGTAGCTTGCCAGGCTTTACCATGCAGGCAGAATACTCTCAGTAGCTCGCTGGACTCTCTGAGAGGGGCGGAGGAATCGAACCCGGCTCGGCCAGGCCGGCTGCGAGCAAGGCAAACATCCTACCACTGTGCTATCATTCCAGCCCAGTCATTTCCATTTTGGATAAAAAGATGACAGGGAAATGATAAAGAACTTTCTAGAGTCTTTCTAGAACTTTCTATTTTATTTTATGTTCATAGACAAGAAGCATATATGTGAGGTGCATCACAATCTACAATCTAAGCAAGTAGTTTTTTAAAAACTTTAAAGTAAAATTGACATAGTATCATAATGCTTGAAATGCAAGGATATAAAAAAGAAAAATAAAGCCTATAATCTGAGACATTGTTAGACATAAATGCATGCGTGAGGAGCTGCTTATTTTAAAAATATAGATCACAAAGACAGCTGGTCTTTCTGGAACCTAGGCAGTGAGGAAAACAGGAGGAAGAAAACCCATATATTTCATCAATAGGAGCTAACATTTTTTGGGGAAAAAGCTCTCCTAGAGATTCTAATCTAATGAGTTATGACTTACGAAAAGCTAATATTGGAGCTATCTAGTTGGATATCTCTAATTCCAATATCTGCTTTTTGTAAGTAATTATTTACAAAAGAGGATATAGGCCTGAGAAAGGCTTGAAGATAATTCTGGCACTGGGGTCAGAAAGTGCTCAATAGACTGGTGCTCATGCTCTTTGCATGTGAGAGGCCTGGTTTGATCCCTGGCACCACATGTTCCCAAGCATAAAAGCAAGAAGCACCGCTGGGGGTCACAAAAAGAGAACGTTATTATTTTTTTTAAATATCTCTATACTTTGGGCTGGAGCGATAGCACAGAGGGTAAGGTGTTTGCCTTGCATGCAGCCAACCCGGGTCCGATTCCTCTGCCCCTCTTGAAGAGCCCGCAAGCTACCAAGAGTATCTCGCCCTCATGGCAAAGCCTGGCAAGCTACCCATGACAGATTCAATATGCCAAAAACACTAACAACAAGTCTCACAATTTGTTGTGAGACGTTTCTGGTGCCTGTTGGAGCAAATCAGTGAACAATGGGAGGACAGTGCTACAGTGCTGTTCTATACTTTATCCTAGGGAGAGGGGTTATCTCATAACACTCCTCAGGTGTCTGGAGGCCTCTGAATCTCCCCAACAAAGCTCACAGCTCAGTGCGTCATGGGTGTGGTGCTGCCTGGGTCCCAGGGTGACAGGGATTACTTTGGCCTAAGGAGCCACATCCACAGGTGTTCAGAGCACTGTTCCATGCCAGTGATTGAACTGGGGCTGGTTGTATGCATGCAAACACCTTCTCTCTCTCTCTCTCTCTCTCTCTCTCTCTCTCTCTCTCTCTCTTTTCTCTCGCCCCTCACATTTTTAATTGAGGTAATAGATCTAAGGAGTGTAAATGTTTGTTTTTTTAAGTAGTTCGATGTTATTATACTGTGTTTACCGTTAATGTACCAATATCCTGACTACTTACCGTAATGCCCTTCCCTAAAATTCACTGTTTATGAGATCTTGTCCTGTGAAACAAAAGCCTTACCTGCTGTATTATCTCTCCTGCTCTGGATGTATTTGCGTGACAAGCTACCGAGAGTATCTCGCCCTCATGGCAGAGCCTGGCAAGCTACCTGTTGACGTATTCAATATGCCGAACACAGTAACAACAAGTCTCAAAATGGAGACGTTACAAGGCCTGCTCGAGCAAATCGAGGATTCTTTCCATTTCTGAAAAAAAAAAATAGTGAAAGAAAAAAAGTCTCTTCTGCCTGGTCCAATAAGAAAGGGCAATAAGATGCAAAGCTTATTAGAAGTTCATTATTATTGAGGATTATTATTATTAGAGACATATAAAAGCAAAGTTAATTTAGAAATGGTTGCTGTTGCGAGGTGATTTACAAAAAAAAAGCAAAGCCAAGAAGTTCTTTACTTCAGCACTCTGAATTGTACAATAGTTTTACAGCCCAAAGCAAAATAAAAGCAGAAAGAATAAATTTCTAATTTCTAGAAAGACCTGCTTTCACCCTTGTGCCATTACCTATATCCCTAGTTGCATGAATTTGTTTTTCAACGTGTTCTCCAATAGCAGGGACAAATCCTTTGTCTCAGTACTGTGAGAAATACTTACTTTGGGGAGGAAAGTACTTCCGCTGTTCTTAGATACACCTTCCCGTGCAAAACCTGGCTGACAAAGATGTGAAGACATTTCTTCTAGGAAAATGGTACTCTTGAGTGCATCTTCTCTGTGGTAGCCCCAGAGAAGAAAAGTGAGAAAGGAAGGCAGGATTGAAAAATTCCCTCAGAGGGATGGGTATTTGATCACTGTATAATTGAAACCCAAGCACAAAAAATTGTTAAGTCTACAACTGTACCTCATGATGTTTCACTACTAAAAATTAAAAAAAAAATTCCCTCAGACTGTCAGAATGCCAGAATTCCTCCCTCTTGCATCTGGGTCGCCTCTATTTGTTGAGAAGTAAATGTTTGGCCGGACTGAAGTTGTTCATTCCGAGTTCTTGATAAACTTTCCTTCCTACTGATATCTCAGGCACGAGAACCGCGGGCTGCTTCCAGAATGGCGGTCTTCATGTGAGACTGTCATTATTGTGGATTTCACTCTTTCCCTTTCTTACACCATCGACCTTTCTCCTCTCAGTGTCATCTGACCTGCTATTCCATTTTCAGCGTTCTGGTGTAATCAGGTTAAGAGTAGAGTGATTGGTTCTATAAGATGATAAATTGAAGAATCACTTCTTTTCATGAGCCTTGAGAGTATTCCTTGAAGTCTGTTTTCCTGGATCAGATATCACTATCATTATCACTATCCTCCCATCGTTCATTGATTTGCATGAGCGGGCCCAGTAATATTGTGAAACTTGTTACTGTGTTTGGCATATCGAATACGTCACAGGTAGCTTGCCAGGCTTTGCCAGGCAGGCGAGATACTCTCAGTAGTTTGCCAGGCTCTCCGAGAGGGGCAG